TTGGAAATGCACTACCCTTTTTGTAATATGCAAAAAAGAATTCTATTTTTACGATATTTTAGATCAAGAAAAAATTATTTGGCTGTAAAATAAGTGTAAAAATTATTCTCATTTAAAATAAAAACAAATTTAATAACTTAACATATTACTTAATATCACCGTACTAAGAACCATAAGTATTTTTAAAAGCATTTTTTAATATCTCAATAAATATAACAATTTTAAATAGTTCACAAAATTGAAACTGCTTTAAAAAAACATACAAGTTCCCTCTCAAAACAAGTCAATTAAGAAGTTTCGTAAAAAAAGTATAAGCTAAACAATAATAATACCCTCTCTCTCTATTTTCAAGAAATAAAATTCCGATAAATATATATGTATTATAATTCTACTCTAAATAAATAATCACAGCGATATTTGCGGTTACCATAAATCTCCACCTAAAAGCCACTTTTTCTGTCCAACTTTTGGATGTAAGCATTTAAAAAGTAATAAACACGAGCGTCCTCTCATAACAAATCAACTCGGCAACTTCGAATGCAGCGCCGCCCCATTGGCTGGCCTTTTGGCTACAAAGCAGCGGCAGTAGGAAAAGCAGCCTCAGCGGCGACTCTGGATTTGACTCCGAATATAGAAACGATTCCCTGCTAGGTCCTTTCATTCAGTTTCATTCGGCTAGCGCTGCTGGAAGCGTGCGGACGTTCGTTGTTTAGAGGCACGGTCATAAAGTCAAGTGGCACCTAAAAAAATAACACAAAAAAATATTAAAAAAAGGAAAAATTGAAACCGAAAAAAAAGGACACAAAACGTGCGGGGGTAAAGTGCAAATGGTAACGGTAATTTGCAGACATTAGCTCTGGCACACACTCACAAAGGTGATTAAATACTAGGGAGGAGGAAGTGCAAAAAGTGTCACATTACGCATACGCAGCGTATGCCCAACTTAAATGCTGGAAATTTAAAATGAAATTTAAAAACGTAATGAGCTTTTCACGTTGGAATTGAAAATGTTTGTCGTTAAGTTGGTCCCCTAAGTATGCCAAGCACGTAGTGGACTTTTGTGATGTGGATACGGCTCTTTGATTGTTTTATTAGCCATTTCTTGGATGGTAGTGAGGTCTTAAGAATTGTGTGAAAGAATCAAATAAAAATAGTAAAAGAAACTAACTATAAAAGTGGAAATAAATATATTAAATAAAGTGAAAATGTATAACAAATAAATTTAGTTAAAACGAACAAAATGTGATAAAGAAATGTGTCAAAGAAAACAGTAAAAATAAAATAAAATTCGGACATAGATTAAATACATTTTACATAAATCAAATATAAAAACATTTAAATAATTTAAAGTAATTTTATATAATTTAAATATAAAAAACTAATTATGAGCCAAATGCAACTGCAACAGCAACGCCTTCGTCGAGGACGACATCATCATCGCCTTCAGTCCGCCGAGTGCGAGTGTTTACGTCCTGTGATAAGGGTTTTTGGTCTGCTGACTTCATTCGGTAAGCTTGGAAAGTGCTTGGAAATCCATGCAGGCAAAATAATATAACTCTCAGGACAGGTGACCCTCCCTCCTGCCTATCCCCTTCCTTTCCCCATACTCTAGATAATGCCAATCACGATATGGGGTTAGATGCATGTGCATGAATAAATGCATATGCATTGCTCTTCTGTTCCTTTTTCGGAATGTTTACCCTTGACAAATCGTAGGAAATGCTTGTGCATGGAAATCCCAGCCCCAGGATATGTTGAGTGCTGTGGCTTATTATATTTCTTGCCATTCAATATGAATTCTAAAGCTAAGAAGCTGAGTGAATGCCTTCTCTTAGAATCTCCTTATGATTTCCTTTAACAAAAAAGCATTATTCCTACAAGACATTTTTCTTGATTATAAAAAGAAAAAGGGAAATAAATTGCATTAAAATTTAATTCAACAGAAAATGCACAAATAGTAAATTGCATTAAACTTAGGGAAATATAAAGTTTTATCAAATAAAATGGGGAAATTTAATTAAATTGCTTTACTGATGCACAGATATACAAATTGTTTCACTTTGAAACCAATATTGTATTTATTTTTTCTCTGAAAACTTTAAATTTATTTAAATTCCATAAATTTTTCAACTGTTTTGAAATATTTCCTCTCATAAAATTAATCACATTAAATATCTGAACTTTTATTATCTCTTATTTGCATAAAAAATATGGAAATCCTGTGAATTTTTTTCAACGATTTTTCTCGGCCATCTGGTGCACTTATCAAACTTGGCTTAAACGCTTATCCACGGCCAATCACAACGATTTTTCAGCCACCAAGCGAGATTTCCCTAATGCGCTTAAAATAGTGAACTCGCCCGAAAAATGACAGAATTTTGATAAATTGCTGGTGGGTAGAGAACATAACAAAAACGTTGGGTCAAGTTCAAACTAATTTCCTTACAAATTGTTTTCAGCCATGAAGAAAACAAAGAAATAAAAACTTGATATAGTTCATAAACCCCTCTCTGAATGGCGAAGGAAATCCTCTCCTTGTCAGAGCCATTAACAAGGCATTGGCCTCTATGCAGCTTGCAGTTCACAATTTGGCATCCTGTGCCAAGAGCAGCGTTTTTCCCCTGTCCCCATTTTCCTCCTATCGGAGCAACTTTTCCATACGCTCGACAATGAGCTTTGTTGTTAGCCTTTTGGCGCCAGCCATTCGCCAAGTTTTCCCCTCCATATTCCAGGGATATCTATTTTTTCTCCATCGCTTTCAATTATCCAGATAATTTTTGCATGTTTTTTTTTTCGATTTCCGCTTTATCGATTTTTGTCCTTTAATGTAATTGGTTTGGTTTTGGGCTCTGCAGTGTCATTTAAATACGACCAACACATATATCTAACTGGTTTAATCTGATTTGTTTTTCGCGGCTTGGCATAATAAAAACAACTTAATTAGATTGAGTTTTTACGCAGTAGGGGGAAGAGGGGGAGTGGTGGAGGGAGTGGTGGCTTTTCTTGGCCATATTTTACACATTGGAAGTGGATTTGGTAGCGGCGAATCAGGGGACTCATAATGTGGTTAGAATATGAATATTTTAGGGGGCTGTTTAAGAAAATTTATATTGTATATATTGTATATATTGTATATATTGTATATATTGTATATATTGTATATATGTATATATTGTATATATTGTATATATTGTATATATTGTATATATTGTATATATTGTATATATTGTATATATTTGTGTATTTCATTTTAATTATTTTAATTATCTAATAAACTTTATATATATGTATATATTTTTAAATTTATATTAAATAGAACTAAAAGAAGGCTCTAGAAATTCTCAAGTCTTAATTCTGTGACTCCTATAATTAGGTTATTTAAGGTTCTATTATTGCTTTGTAAATATACAAATTAATCCCATTTTTGTAATATTATTATTTACTTTAATTATCGTAGAAAATGTATCAATATTCAAATCTTTATAATAGAGATTTAACACTTCGAAACTTCTCATACCAACCTCGCTACTTTTCTTCGGTTTCCTATTACATTTTATGGCCCCATCTTGGTAAACAAAAAAGCCCCAAACTCAATAAATATGCTTATAAATATATTCGCCCAGACGAAATCACATTATTTTATAGGCTTGTTCAAGGATGAAACTCTCCTTTTCGCCCCTCACCCACAAAATGCTTAAACCATTTCTCTTTTTTCAGTTATCTGCGGCGTCGGCGTTGATGTCTACATGCATGGCTATCAGGCTGGCCTTTATATAGTGTAAGTTAAATCGTATATAGCCCAGAATTAACTTAATTAGTGGTTAGTTTTTCAGCGGTGCTGGTAATGTTCATAGAGATCAAGTGGCTGGTGACTATTTTCCTGCAGCTGCAGTGCTCAGAGTAAGATAATATGGCAATTATTATATTAAATTTAAATTTAATAATGAGAATCATAATGAGGTAGTTAAAATTTAAAAGAATATTAATTTAATTTAATTTTAAAAGTATAAATTTCTGAATGCAAAAGATACACTAAAGTCAGCTCAAGCTTTATAATCCTTTTCATACTTTACTAGAAATTTTGTAATCATTTTGTTTTTAAAATAATAAATAATTTTAAAAATATATTTTTATTGTTCTAATATCCTCAAACTATAATAATTCCTTACCCATATTTATGTTATTAATTTCTTTTAGGAATAATTACCAGCGAACATCCTGCAACTGCCTGGCCTGTTGGCGCCTGTCAGCGATTTGCGGGGGTTGGCGACCCACACCCGTTTATGCGGTAATCGGCGTGTGCCTGATCCTGTACCCGCACAATCTGTGGCTGAGCTATGTGGCCGGGATGTTCCTGATACTCCTTGGCCTACTGAGACTCTGCACGCTGCTACGATTCAGTCCCTCGAAGGACGAAGGCCTCCTGCCGCAGTGCGACTTTGAAAAGTGATGGCAGAGAAAACTTGGAACCTTGCCTGGTATTTGTTTCTAATGTCTGTTTGTTTTGTGCGTTGATAGGGTCTCCAGCTTTGTGGATAACATGGAGGATGATTTTGCGGAGGTTAGCGCCTCACAAGCGGCCTTGGATGACGAGGAGGCGGAGGTGGATGTCGACGACGCCCATCCAGCCATAGACGACGATGTTTGCTAATAGTTAAGATATCTATATACTTTTTGTTCTCATCTTGATTTATATTTTGCCCTACAAAGTGTCTGGTAACATAAGCATTGTAAAAAGGTTTCAATTGAAGGTTTGAAATTTTAAAAATCGGAATATTAAATAACTGCCAATTTATATGAAAACCTTAGCAAACGTTCCTTCCTTCTTTAATCTTATTCCGTATTCGTTTTATTAATTTCTTACTTTTTAAGGGAAAATTAAGCAATCAGTTTGCTCCGTTTTAATCTTAAATTTAAACTAAAGAGTTACACCCTAGAAAATAAATATATTTCGTACCTAAAATATTAAATTTTATTCTTTTTTGCTCTATTCTAAATTTTAGTGAACCAAGAAAAACCTAGATTTCAGAAATTTCCCTGATATAAGAAACAAAAAATGAATTTTTCCCTTATTTTTGATAGAAACAACTCAGTTTAATTTCTCCTTTTAGTTGATCTTGAGGTCAGTGGATTCCTCTGATGGCTAAAGGCCAAGATAAGGGGTTGGTGGCCAAGCTGATCCTCTTCTATAATACTAAAGGCGCGTTCATGACCATAATGATCCTCATCCTCTTCATAGTAATCACCATCGTGGTGGCGATAATGTCCGCCTCCGTGCCCTCCATGTCCATGACCAGGTGGCGGCGGTGGAGGATAGGGATAGGGAGGATATGCTCCTCCAGGATATCCAGGTGGGCCCTGTGGTCCAGGCATTCCAGGCATGCCCGGATAACCCTTATCTCCCTTTGCTCCCTTCTCGCCAGGATCACCTTTGGAGCCCTTGGTGCCAGGATAACCCTTCTGGCCGGGCTGTCCGGGGGTCCCAGGAGGTCCTGGTGGACCTGGAGGTCCCGGTGGGCAATGACAATGCGAAGGTTGGGGTTGCGGGGGATATGGATAGGTTGGGGGATACGCCGGAGGATGATGGTGATGGTGATCGTAATCCCCTTCGATGATCACTTCCTGTGGCGGAGGAGCAGGCGCTGGACTTCCGGTTTGCAAGGTAATAAGACGTCCAGACGAGGCATTGTCCTGGGACCTTACTCCCGTCGAAATTGCCAGCAAAACTGACACAAAAATTATAAAATTCGCGAGACGAACTTCCAATCGCGACTCCATCATGCTGCCAACTAACCAAAATCAGATCATTGTCTCATCTTTTTATATGGAGACAAAGCTGGAAAGAATGGCAAAAAAAGCGAAGAATCACTCTGAACTACCGTTAAAATGGCTCATTTAGATTTATTTACCTTGTCTTATATACGAATTTTATGCAAATTCCTCTTGTTTAATAAACTAAGCCAACTATTTATAAAGTGTGCATAATTTGCATAAAAATCAATGAATGAGTAGAGAACTTTCACACTAAATCGGCTTTGGACTTTGTGATTGAGCCATGAAAAGTGAATTCTATGTGGAATGAACATAGAAAATATATAAAATTTATATGTAAACAGAGCATTGACAATTTATTAGGATTATCAAAGGTTTAATTAAGTGTTTTTTATTTACTTACCTTTTAGAATTTGTACCTTTTTAACATAATTTGAATGTTCCCTTCACTTTAATCTGATTCACAAAAGGAAACTTAGGTTTTGATCTATTATTTTATTGGGGGTTCTTTATTCTTTTGTTGGGGTAAAGTGGAACTCATGCTGAGACAAAAGCCCCGCCCACCCAGACCTTAACATAATTCTGGTTTTTTGGGCAGATCTCATAACAAATTGTTTCGCTCTCCTAACGAAATACTCACGCTTCAGTCTAAGTCATTTGGTTTTAGGGGGACTTTTGTAATATTTCTCTGTGTAATATTTATGCTGTAAATAGTTGTAACTTTTAAAGTTAGCTTTTATTTGTTGTTTTTTGCTTATTTTCGGTTTCATACATGTTTGCTATGCAATAAACATATTTTATAGTATTTTTATATTAATCATATACTTTGTTTAACTATTATTCTCTCTTTTTTCGTGTTTTCGATGAGAAAACCTTGAGGTAGCTGCGTTTTTAAATAATTGTTATAAGTAGGGGTTTTTTTTCATGTTGCTTGTCAATCCCTGATATAGGCTATATAAGGTTCTGTTGTGGATAAGAAGAGTTTGCTGGTGATAACACACGTTTCATTATTCAAACAAAATAAACACAAGAATCAACAAAAGAAAAATGTAACTACATTTTATATTTATTTTATTTTGTATATATATATTTATATAATATTAAGATATATATTACGCATCAACATATACATAAAAAATATTTAAATCATTTAAATTATAATTAAAAAGTATTTGAAAAAAAATCAAAAAACAGAAAAATATCAACATTTAGGCGAAACAAAAGCGGAGGTTTGTGTGTCTTGTCAGATGGTTGGACGAGGTTCTCAGTCGGGGAACGAAGATCATGGGACTGGCCATGAAGGTCTCTCAAAAGTAAACTCAAATTGACTAGATAATGGATGTTGTTGGTTAGTTATAGTTAACTTTTGACTCGGTTTCAGTGCTCAAATGGATCTATAAAACGAACGAGCCGATCGTCTAATCGCTCTTACCAAACAAAGAGTGAATTAATGGTGCTAAGCTCATTAAATATGTATGTATATTTTGCAGAACTGTTGCTGAACTTTCGATTAACTGCAGTTAATCTTTTCACAAAAGAATTGTTTCTGTACATGTACATAAAACTGGCAGAAACCCAACCTTTTGAAACCCCAAACCGAACCCTATCCAACTGTGAACAAACAAACCTGGGAAGAAACCATAGTTAAAATTGAGGCTGCAACTGAAAAACAGAAGAAAACATTGAAGAAACTCATCAGATTTTTAGTTTGTTATCACTTGCTCTTCTTATAAGATACGACTAACAACTATCTTTGGGATTCATTCGAACTCTGTTGGCTCTTCATTTTGTTCGCACTACTCTGGTTTGTAGATTTTTTTTTTTAGTTATTGTTGTGGCGCTCCTTAGCAGCTTTAACAGCTTTAACAGCTCCTCTACCCCTTCTCTAGCCTGTCCACTCCATTATAAAAATATAAACAATTCTTTTCCATTTTATTGGAAGGGCAGGGTGTATCGATTTTTTGGTGTTTAAAAAAACTATATAAATTTCAGGGGCAAGTAAGTAATTGATGAACAGTTACATTATATTAATATATTATTTCCAGGCAATTAAATTTGCAATTTTAGTTTTATTTTCAGAAATAAGTATTATTTTCGTATTCTTAAATTTTTAATTGCCTGCTGAACTTACTTTTAACAAATAACTTTTTGAATTTTGCTTAAATTAATTGTTATTTTACATTTTCGTAGAATTTATCAAGTTATCTAGGCTTCAAATAATGTTTCTATAATTATTTAAAGCCTTTTAATTTGTAAAAAAGTAAGAAAATGTAAAATAAAATTAATATTCCTTTCACATATTACTTCTTCCCACCTGAAATTTTAGTTTCTTCAAATCGATACACCCTAACAAAGAGGGAGCTGGATGAGGGGGTGACAATTCCGATCTCTCTGTCCTTGATCTAGGGAATTCGATTTCTTTAGGAGGGGACTTTTAGGACACACACAACGTCAAGGACTGGGATGCGTCCCCGACCTTGGTGTCGTGTCATTGGGGGCTGATGATGAGATGGATTCTAGTGCCTTTAGTGCGGACCCAATGCCACCGCTTAGTAGAAGGAGCTGCACCAGGCATCGCCCGCCGTGGGGCTTAGCATTCCGACCAGACTGGCACTATGGCCGGAGGTTACGGCGCCAGTCGCCACAGACGGTGGCGATGCCGTCGTGCTGCCGGTGGCATGTGTAGAGCTGGGCAGACACTGGAAGCAGTAGTTGGCCCCATAATTGTTATCCCAGAACTGTTGGCCCTTGCACTGGAACCTCACGGCAAACTCCAGCCGCTGGCCCACATGCAGCGAGTTGCCAAACAGCACAAAGGTGAATTTGTCAGAGAAGCCATCGCAGGAGTTCTCCACGTAGTTGGCCTGCAGGTCGGCATAGCTCCTCCAGCCGTCCAGCGAATACCTTATGTGCACCGACTTGTGAAAATCGAGATTTCGCACGCGTACCGAACCGGATATCGTTTGGTTTATGTTATCCGATACGGCAGCGTTCTCCAGCGACACCTGCTTCTCCCTGACCGCATCGAGGAATTTGGCCAGGCCACCTGGCTGCTGGAACAGGGGCATCAGCAGCTTATCCGACTTGGGACCCAGCTGTAGAGGTGGCTCCGACTCCAGTATCTCCAGATCCTCAAACGCCGACTTCGGTATGGTGGGTATCTCATCCAAGAAGGTCTTTACATCCGCCAAATCCAAGCCCAGGACATCAGCGAATCTCACAATCTTCTTTCGTCCTGGGGTTCCAGGCGGTGTCTTTCCCGTCTTCAGTGAAGAACAGCGCCTGATCCGCTGAGGTCTGCAGTCATCCTCATCATCAGTGGTATCTATGCCGTGACTGTGTCCACCACTCTTCTCCACAGCCTTGTCCACATCTTGTTTGGCCTGTTCGATTTGTGCCAGTTCCACATTTACGGTGAGATTGCTGGCCGACTTGTCTGTCTCGTCTACACCACTGTCGGGCGAGAGTTCCTCATCCTGGAGGGTTCGATCGGGGAAGATTGAGTCTTCTGTGGCGGTTCTGTCATTGGGGGTTTCAGTGGCGATTTCCTCTTGAACCCTTTCGTTGGCGGCTTCGTCTTGAACCCTCTCAAGGCTACTTTCTGGTTCCACTCTCTCACAGGTGATTTCCTCGTGAGTTCTTTCTGTGGTGATTGCCTCTTGAACCCTATCGGTTGGGACTTCTTTCTCTCTTTCTCTCTCTGGAACTCTGTTTGTAGTACCAGCTACGTCCAGGACTTCCGTCAACCCCTTGAGTTCCAGTTGCTCCAACTCCTCCCCAAGATGGCCATTGGTAAGATTCTCCTCCTCGGGCTTAGTCTGATCCTGTGCCCTCAAACTGAAGCTATGCTGCTGAAGTTCACTGAGGATCTGAGCCTGCAGAAAAGCCTCATCCTCGTGAACCACATCCTGGCTAGGTGGCTGCTCCTCCGGCACTCCATTCACAAGCTCGTGACTGCCGTTCAACTGTATGGTATTCACATATTCTTTGAGGTCCGAGGCCGGCAGCTTTGGCTCCTGGGCAGCGGCTGCTGTGGATGTGGAAGCGTAACCCGAACCCGAAGCGGATGCATCGAAGTAGGGACCATCGGTGCTGCTGCTGTGACTGCTGGCCACTGAAGCGCAGGCGTAACCCGATTCCGCCGTTGAGTTGTGTGGCGTATTTGAGGCGGTTTCGATTAGACGCAGGTACTCGCACTCATCCACAGGACTCCCGGGCGATTCCAGCTCGCAGTCGAAGTCAAAGAAGGAGTCGGACTCGTGGCGCAGGGGCTGAAGGTCCATTACTGTCTGTTCGGAGTCATGCGAGTTGACCCACGTGTTCGTGCTGGTGCCATTAATAATGGGCTCATCTTCGGCATTGCCCTCGCCTTCCTCGGTTGTCTGTAAGAAAATATGAAAACTTATTAGAAAATGTTTATAAATTATAATAAAACAAGTTCTGATTTCTTTAGGTTTCTTATTCATAGTAGGCCCATCTAAGAAACTTCATTGTTTCTATTGAACTTCGGTCATTCAGTCTACACCCCCTACAACGAACAGACTGAACAAACACGTTCAGAAAAATCCCACAAAGACCCACTAATAAAACTATAAGAAACCTACAAGTAAAATATTTAAAATCTCCTCAATAAAACATCAAAAAACCCAGCAAGATGCGTATGCTAAATATCAACCAAGTCGCTCCAAACTTTTCCACATATGCGGTTTCAAACGGTTCAATGCGACTTTTATCTTTGGAGGATTTACGTGGAAGATATGTCCTGCTTTTGTTTTATCCGGCAGACTTTTCCTTTGTCTGCCCCTCGGAGTTGCAGGCATTTAGCGATCGAGCCGAAGAGTTCCGCAATGTTGGCTGTGATGTGATGGCCTGCTCCACTGATAGTCACTATTGCCACTGTGCCTGGATGAATCAGCCCCGTAAAGCTGGAGGTCTCGGCGAAATGGATATCCCACTGCTGGCGGATAAATCCATGAAGATAGCCAGAGATTATGGCGTGCTGGATGAAGCCACAGGTTTAGCTCTGCGTGGCTCGTTCATTATCGATCGTGAGGGACGCATTCGGCAGATCACAGTGAACGATATGGGCGTGGGTCGCAGTGTGGATGAGGCACTGCGTCTAGTACAGGCCTTCCAGTTTAGCGATGAATATGGAGAGGTCTGTCCAGTGAACTGGCGACCAGGAGCACGAACCATGAAGGCTGATCAAGCCGGTAAGGAGGAATACTTTAAGCATGCCACATAAGAAGGTACTTCAAGTTCTCGAATCACCGAGTTCAGACAGCAAAATAAAGTTTAGTTTTGAAGCATTCGACTTTTGGGTTTCATTATTTATTGAATTTATCTTAAAATTTAAAGGGAACCTACTCTTTGCTAGCTTTCCTCTAACTATTACTAAGATTTATGAAAAACCTCTCCTCTTCCAACTCACCTGTGATCCCAAGGTGCGCAGCTTGGAGGACAGACTCCGTGCGAAGGCCTCGGCTCTTCCCCGGCATGAGGACATCCCTATGGTTGGTATGATGGAAATAATGCTGCAGGGCGGCCTGCTGTCCGGCGTGCTTGTGTGTGTCAGTGGTATATCGCCGGGATCGTTCATTTACGTCACGTCACCACACTTGTGTTGTGCCTGGTGCAGTCGATTGGCGGAATATCTGCAAATATAGGACCATCGGGATATATGACGTGAGTGTGATATATTGGAACAAGATGAGCCATCTTTAAGTAAACAAATAAATTTGCTCGAAATGTTGTTTTTTTCATCACTTTCCCTTTTTTCGCTTTTCCCCCCATTGTATATTCGATGGCATTTTTGAAACAGCTGAGAAAATATATTATGCAGTATATTTGCTTTTATTATACCCCGGCGCATTTCTCATTTTTCGAGCGCTTTTGTTGCCTTTTCATTTGATTTAGTTGGTTGTCATTAAAATTTAAATAGACTATTTAAAGAATTTGTGGGGGTAATTAGTTTTAACCCAGCGAAATTTTAAGTTAAACAAAAATGTTAATTAAAATGAGAATAATATTTAAAAAGAGTTTTATGCTGGAAAATTTTAGAAGCAAAATTCATAAAATAAAAACACAATAATAAACAAAAATGTGAAAATTAAATACATATTTTTGTAAGCCAATACATAAATATATAGTAATTTAAATAAATATTTTATAATACTTAGTAAAGGTAATATCCGTATAATAATTTATATAAATTTAATATTATACAAATATAAATAAAGATGCTGGAATTTCTTTCTTCCGAATATTTGATGATATCCACTTGCAAAAGATCTAATCAAAATAATTTATTATTTTGTTAATTACAAAATTAAAAAAAAATGTTTTAGGTTTTTTCAATGGCTAAGCGATTATTTCTTTTTTAATCCAAAACCTTCTTTTATCCCTTCGTTTAATATTTCATTTAAAATTATGTCAAATTTGGTTCAGTTTCCTTTATTTTTTGGTTAAGTCAGGTGATGAAAACCCGTGATGGTTGGCCCAAAAAAAAACCAGACAATGTCTGTGAAATACCAAAATGAACCGGGTGACCATAACAAATTGTTAACACCTTCCCGATTTGCATTTGGCAGATGGCATTGTTATTGTTTTCCTTTCGGTGGCAGCACGTGCATTACCTTTGATCAGGTGCATTGGCTATAGCCACGCCCAGTTATAGATCGGATCTATATATTCAGAGAGCGGATGAGAGGCAAATTAGCAAAGGAAGTGCCGCCCAATGAAGACATCAGAGTTTTTATTTTCGAAATTAGATGCGCCAATCGAGACGAGACAAAGTCAATTGGCCTTGAACTTTTCGCGGCATTTCTTTTTATATTTTTTGTCTATTTGGATTTTCCGTCTCTGTTGTTGTGTATATGTTTTACTTTTTATTTTTGGCAGCATGCATAGGAAATTTAATTAAGCAGTAAAGCGAGTAAAAAAAGAAGTAAAGAAAACTTAAAAGCCAAATAAATAAACGATCGTCTGACAATCAATCGGTTAAGGAGGTCAGAATGCCGATCTCTTTGAAATTCCCTTAAAATTAAATAAACGAAAACTCTGGGGATCTGCAGTAAAAATGAGGTGATGCCACTTATGGCAGATATTTTATGATTCATGCATATCCCTTGAAGATTGTTTTTGCTGTTGCACCCTTTTTAATTTTTTTTCTTTGCAGATAAATGGATTCTTGTTCTGGCTTTTGGCCAAGTGGCTAAATGCGTTTTGGGCGCTGATGACGTTGGGTCAAGAAAGAGATTACAGAATGAAATATATACACTTAAAATATATGTGCATAAAATATATATATATTTGTATTCATTGACGTTTAATTGGGCATGTCCTCATTAATTGCAAAATTAAAAAACATTCCAAAATAAATTGACGTCTATAAATATTAATTAAAATAATCGCAACCGTTTTTCTGAATCAAAACCCAAAACAAAATAAATACAATCTTGAGAAATGCTTTAAAAATCATCAATGTTTTGTATACATTTTATATAGAATATATTCAAAAATACTTTCTATATAAATAATAATTCGTAATGCAGTGTCTCAAGCTCACATTTTATAAATAAAATATATGTACAGAAAGAAATGAAAATAAATAACACACAATCACAAAATCTAAAAATAAAACTAAGACAACATATGTCTTTGACTTTTATTTTTCGGCCAAAGTAACATTTCCGTTTCTTGCTTAATTTTTCCTTCTCTTTTTTTTTTTACATTTACTGCGTAACTGTGAGATACTTTTACTCCAAGTAGCCGCCTTAAGTAGATACACGCACCGAGACACCACCCATAGAAGCTTAATTGAATTAAATTGGGGGAAATGTACGGAATTGATGTTAAAGTGGACAAACGCAATAAGAAATAACTTTGAATTATGCTTGATTAGTTCACTTTTAGTGTATTTTTTTGGGAAATAAAGTCAAGGTGTTGTTGAGGTGCCAATTGCAATAATCTAGCCAATAAAATTATGATTGTGATGAATTCTTAGAGTATAAAAATATGTTTTTAGCTAACGAGAAATTTTTTAGAATTTATTTAATTATACACTAAGCTAGATGATAACAGAAATATCTTTTTTATAATAAATCAAAGAATTCATAAGTATTTAGTTGTATTATTTTTGATTTTTACTAAATTTAATAGTTCTAAAATTCTTTTTAAAGTTAAATAATATACAATAGGATGAAGAATGTAAATGTATACAAAAAACAAATGGAAAATATCTAAAAATATAAAAAAAAAAAGAGAACCACTTGGAAAATTATTTGAAAATATACACATTCAATAATTTATAGAAAACAAATATAAATAATAAAAAAAATCATTACTAATAGTTTCAAAATGCACTAGAATTCAAAAACCAATTAGATTTCTTAATGCATCTACAGGTGCTTCGATCGACCAGACACAACAAACGTTCTTATCATTTGCATTTCACAGTAGCACTTCTCATGTTCGGCTTGTTAGTCACTGGACCCGAGAGATGGATGCGCCATTAGCTGTTCACACCATTTAAATAGTTCGATTAGCTGTTTCTAGGCCTATATAGTTTCTTTTTTTTTGTTGTGGTTACTGGTCGGCGGCTTATCACCTGAACCCCACATGATATTTGCAGTATTTGCGATGGGTGGGTGAGTGGGTGGTGGAGGGAGCCGCTTAATCATGCTGCCCCGGCGTCTCGATTATGGATTGTGATAACGAATTTGCAATTTTATTTATAGCAATCAGAATTGACCCGAGAACCGCGTAACCGAAGAACGCTTCACTCACAATTACACTTTTCGCGAATTTTACACTTACACTAGCCGACGACGGTGATGTAAGGGAGTAGTAGTAAGTAACCCAAGGTTGTACTATATATATTCGAGCAAATAATGGGTATTATTTCTGGAACCACAACCAGCTAACCAAACCACCGAAAAGCCCTCGAACTGCACCACGTCTGCAGCGTCACGGTGTCGGGCGTGCACTGACTACCAAACGATCTTTTTGTTGTGTTTTTGGCATTCAGCAAATCCACCCTGATTGATAAGGCAAAAACGGATCGGAACGGATCGGATCGGATGGGATGCGATCGGATCGAAATCGAAGTGCAGCGCAGCGGAGCAAAATCGCAAATCGCAGCCAAGCACTGCCCTCACGCTGATTGCACTCACCCCGCATCCGCATCCGCCTCATCTGGTATCTGTATCTGTATCGGTGCCCAAGTATCTGTATCTGTATGCTCGATGTGCATCCCAAAAGGTAGATGCAGGCTACTATATACAAATGCTCGTGATCGGTGACGTTGCAGCCTCGGATGTCTGCCTCAATATTAATCTTAAATACATTTTCTTTCAAGTGTCAGGTAGGTAGATTTCTCAAGAAGATTGCTTGAAGATATTAAAAAGGATCTCCATATATTTTAATATATATTCTTGTTAAGAATATCACTTATATTCTCATTAATTAGGCCAGGGTATTATCTATGAATCAACCAACTGTTAGCCGTTATGGCAATAAATTGGTAAATGCTTTGCCAACAATAATGTTAGCCATATCGCAGTGTTACCTGCAGATAAACTATCAGCGTTCAGTATTTGCTGTCATTTAAGCCCCGTGGGCTTTTGGGACCGCCCGCTGTGATTGTGGGATTATATATATTATAAGTACAGGAATATACATATCAACTTGGCCAATATTCAATATGTGCCTAATCAATGGACAAGGCTAAGCTACAGATTAGGTAACTAATTAGCTATTTTTATTTGAATTTAACGCCGGAACAGTTTGTAATCCTGATTTAGCACTACTCGGCAGCTCGAATTAGATTTGATGGCTGACAGCAGAGACCGAAGGTGATAAGATTGCTAAGCGGATCATTGAACTGTTCTGCAAAAGCAAATATGCTTAGAAAATTAAAGTCTTAACAGGCAATTAATTAGGAAAATTTAAGGCTGCACTTGAAGCGGAAAAGATAAGATAAGCAGAAGAGATAAGTTTAAAAACTTTTAAAGAATTTGTAGGATTTTCTTTTAAAGAGAAAGATATTGTTAAACTATTTTTTGAAGAAGAAAATAAAGCAAAATTTATAAATAAAGTTATTAAATATTATTAAAAGTAGTTTAAATTGGCTGAAGAAAATATATAAAACCAAGTTAGGTTGCTAGGGAAAATCTTATCTTATATTTAACAAAGAATCCTTTGAATAAACTAGGAATCCACTTGACTTGCTGAACTTGTACAAAACTAAATAAATATTCGCAATAGCTTTTACGCTGTCATTCTCTGTCGCATATATCATTAGCATAAATTCTATTCAGAACATTTTTTTTTTCTTTTCAGACCGGCAAGTGCCGCCCACGCTTTGGTAAGAGCGCTATAGATACTTGTTCCACTCATCAACAAACCACAACAGCTGACTGGTTGACTGGCTTTGGCGTTTTTTTTTTATTTATAAATAAACCAAAATTAATAATATATATTCTTTATGGTAAATTAGCTGAAATTCAGGCTGCGCATGTTGCTCATTCCCCGGGCTTCTGATTTGGAATCCTCTGCCTCAGAACCCCCCCGAAAAAAATCGATTTGCATTGGAACTTCACCGCAATCAATATATATAAAACAAGTGGCTTACACGAGCCTCGTTTGAAGCGCTAATTTTCCGTCAGTAATTCTTTTTGTATCTGTCAGATATATTGCGTGCGTGTGTCAGTGCGTGTGTTTGGATGTGGGTGGCTTCCATATTATTTTTTATTTTGTATTTTTTTTTGTTCGCTTTTCGGCTAGCGCGTGCTTTTTTTCTTTATATTTGTATGACATTGCTATCGAACGAAATGTCAAAAGCAAACAAAGCCAAGTCCCGGGAACACAACGAAAACAACTGGAAAAACGCTTGCGCCGTTCTGAAAACTCAGTTACGAATACAAAGATACTCGTGGGGCAGAAGATACTTTCGCTTTCAACTGGCTTTCCCTTTCCTTTTTTTATGGTTACAAGTTCCTTGCCTTGTTTGGGATTATTATGATAACGAGATTTGAATGGTTTTGTTTTGATTACAAGGGCCAAGAAAGTGGGGCAAAGGGATGTAAGAATTTAAATAGTTTAAGGAAAGATGGTAGTTCTTTCTGAGGAATATATACTTAAAAAATATAAATATTTTTAATAAAGGTTGAGTTTAAATATGGTTATAGAAAACCTAATATTCTGTAGATTATAACCAAGAAACAATTATATAAAACTAATTTCAAAAAATAAATTAGAAAATTATACATATTAAATGCCTTCAATAACGTTTGTATCTTAAGAATAAACATACTTTGTAACAACCTGTATCTTTTATGATAAATTCAAACTGCTTCAAAGCCTTCTAACTACTTAAAAAACTATTTCAAATCCACATTATATAAAGAGAACTGTCAGATAAATGTAGAGCATAAAATCAACTAACTAAATTATAGTCAGTTCACTTGATTAAACTCGTTTCCACTTTTTGGGTTGAATACATGTTACCGATAAATTGCGAAAAGTACGTGTTCAGCTTTGACTTTAAATGGCAAAATCAAAGTCAAATGTATCCGATGGATACACGCACATGCTAATTGCAGCAGCATCAATTGAAGCCACATAATTATTAGCAGCATGCCATGTCTATATGAAAACACGCACTTAATTTATACATATATGTATATTTTACATGTTGTAATAATTTTGATTAACCAACCTGATGTTTTTATATTATTCCAAGGCGTTTCCTTTTTGGCCTTTAGCAGCGCTCGTCGGCGAACCAATAAAAAAAATTAGTTGTCAAAAGTCGTGGCATAAATAACGCCTACATATACTATAATATATATTTTTGGGGGGTATAAATATATATACTCGTAGTTCTAGTTATTGCGTGCCCGGAAGCCGTTTATGTGGGAGGTGACCCAGTGTTTGGAGGGAAAGGTTACCGAAGGATATAGTCGGCCAGTCGAGAACTTTCACTTTCGCACACACACAGAAAAGCACCTGGCCGCCGGGGGGGGGCGCTATAGTTAGATAACACTTTCTCGGCGGATTTCTCAGATATGTTTCGCTTTACTTGCCGAATTTCTTTTCGCGAATATTTAATTTAATTTTATTAATTTTTTATATTTCTCTATTGGTTTCGTTTCTGTTAACCACACACTCGTTTTGATTTGGGTTAAGGCTGTGTGATAAGGACCCGTCGGGATTGCTCGGCTTTTGAACCACGAAGGCTGACGAAAATTTTCTGAATTCAATAAAAATTTTAACATTTATTCGGCGTCGTGTTTTTGTTTATTTACTTATTTTTTTTTTTTTTTTTGCAAGTAGTTTTAATTTATTACTATTATTATTATTATTATTATTTATTTAGCCAGCGGTGAGAGGCAGCCGTGGCAGCAGCGCCCGTTGTAGTGGCAACGTTGGCGACTTGGTCGCAATAAGAGTGTCATTCAAGGGCATTGCAAGGTCACAGCAGTTGCGTCGTCTTTCGCCCGCTGAGATGCGAGAGCGCCAAACGACGACCGCACATGGCGGCGGCCTCTTTTTAGTCGATTCTCCGATACACAGATACAATGATTTTTTTTTTTGAGAATTATTTCCTTTGGTTTATTATAAATTTTTAGCGAAAAATTAGAGAGAGAGTTAGACGGGCCGGCCAAGGGGCGAGAGGTGGGTGGTGAAAGCGGACGAATGGGCCGTCACGCAGTGCTTTAATTATTACTAATTTGCCTATCGCTGTATCTCGGGGATACGTTTCTGGCGCAGACCTCCGGCTCGTATCTCTCAGTTCGCCCGTTTGGCCGTCCTGTCGTGTGGCAACTGAGGCAAGTCTCACCAAAAGTTGCAACCGCTTCTCACTTTCGCTCTCACCTCGGCACCCCTCCTCTGCCTGCCCCTTCTCACCGCAATTCTCTCCCGGTGGGCGGTTGTTTTGGGAGGTACTTCTAGATACTGCTGGGCTCTAAAAAGTCAAGTCAGAGAGGCTAACAATCGGGAGAGTAAATTGCTTCGGCACAGTGGTTCTATATAAAAATTAATAAATGTATATTAAGTATTTAATATAAGCTTTTAAATGTTCCTGTCTTATTTAGCAAAATTGATAAATAAAATAAAATTGTATAATTATTATTATATTTATTTTAAAAATATTAAAAATTCTTTAATTTTGATACGAAAAAAAACACTGTGCATCTTTTGTTTGCTGCTCTCTCCCGGTCTCTCAGTTTATCTCAGCTCCACTCTCAATTCTTGTTCTCTTTGCCGTTTTACTTGTCGGAGCCGGCTTTTTTCAACATTTCTGTTTTTTATACCCTTGCAGGGTATTATAATTTCAGTCAGAAGTTTGCAACGCAGTGAAGGAGACGTTTTCGACCCCATAAAGTATATATATTCTTGATCAGCATCAACAGCCGAGTCGATCTAGCCATGTCCGTCTGTCCGTCTGTCCGTCTGTCCGTCTGTCCGTCCGTCTGTCCGTCTGTCCGTCTGTCCGTCCGTCTGTCCGTTTCTACGCAAACTAGTCCCTCAGTTTTAAAGCTATCTGAATGAAACTTTGCATATAGTCTTCTATATACTCTCACTGCTATATATGTCGGAACGGGCCGGATCGGACGACTATATCATATAGCTGCCATACAAATGTTCGATAAATTTTTAGGAAAAAAATTATAGCTTGGCTGTTTTTCAATATTTTTGCATCATTTTTGAGATATAGCCATTTTATATTATTCCAGAATTTTGGTAAAAATTTTATGAAAATCGGACGACTATATCTTATAGCTGCCATAGGAACGATCAGGAAATGGGAAAAAAATTATAACTTCGTTGTTTTTCAACGTATTTAAATCTACTCTGAGATATAAGCTTTTTTTATTATTTCAGAATTTTGGTAAAAATTTTATGAAAATCGGACCACTATATCTTATAGCTGCCAAAGGAACAACCGGGAAATTAATCGAAAAAAATTATAACTTCGTTGTTTTTCAACGTATTTTCATCTTCTTTGAGACATGAGCTTTTGGTATTATTTTAGAATTTTGGTAACAATATTATGGAAATCGGACAACTATATCATATAGCTGCCATAGAAGCGATCCGTAGATGTAGAGAAAATGTAAGGCTGGGAATGTAAAACTGTAACTGTCAAACTGTAAACATAATAAATATAGAAAAAATGTTATGAAACTCTGTTTAGTGTCTGTTTTCGGCATTATAATTTACAATATAAATATCAAAACCAATCTGCAAGGGTATACAAACTTCGGCGTGCCGAAGTTAGCTTCCTTTCTTGTTTTTGTTTATATTTGCACACCTAAATTGTTTGCCCGATGTTTGTTTTTATTTCATTATTCAATTAATTGTTTGCATTTTTTTTTTGCAAGTAGCCACTTCGTCTTTATCTTATAAAGCTACAAGGAGATACAAACATTGATCTCACTGCGTGGAACTTGTGGCAATTGTTTGAACTTTTCTCTGTTATTTTCTAGTGCATTGACTGTCGGGCGCAGTCAATGCATAAACTACAATTCCACTTTAATGGAAATTGCATTTCTGCGGGTTAAAGATACAGATACAAAGGTGCAGGCACCTTCTCTTCGACTAGGCTCTCTTTGGCTCTCTTCTCTGGGTAACCATTCTCTTTGCTGTGACACTTTCAGCTCTGGCCAACTTTCGCTTTCATTTCAATGAGAACAAACAATTTCCATGCTAACTAAGCCACGTGCCAACCCCCCGGCCGCCTTCGCCCCCGCATCACCGCCGGAAAATGGCAAAAATGAGATAGGGGTAGTGTGCGAAAGGGAGAGCTAAGCGGATCTCCTTTTATTTGGTTTAAATTGGCATTGTTTATCACATGACATCAAATTAACTGTAATTTAATTTTAAATTTGGGTGTCTAATTAGTCAGTTGGTCAATGAAAAAATTGTATATGAATTCATTCATTCTCTTGAACTTATTGTTTTAAAAAAAAGGTTGAACATTATATAAAAATAGATACATATTAGATATAGGTTTTTTGTACATCTGAATATATGAAATTAAAGCTTATTCCCATCTTTTTAAATACCATACTGTAGGTTTTTTGTTAAATATAATAAATTCTGTTATCCCGAATAATTTAAAGCTATTCATATCGCACATCTATAAAATTGATAATATCGTAATAATAATAACATGATAAATTATAATATATTTAGTCTCAAACTTAAAGTTTAATATAATTTTCTGTAATATTTAAATAAATTCATTTTATTTCACCTATCATATATTTCTTTATTCTGAATTTATTTTTCCAAGCATTAGTAAATAAAAATAAAATAACCGTTATTATATAGAATCTTGTAAATGTAAAAATTTAATATAAATTGAAAATATTTGGTTTAATTCCTTATATTTGTTATACTCTTAACATATATAAAATTAAGTTATATATCTTTTAGGTCTCTTCAGGAGATTTACAAATATTTTACTTGTCTGAAATGTATTTTACACGGCAATACAGGCATACTTTTGAGCGATAATCGTACGATACACTGTACACTGAAAAAAAAGGTATTGTAAAGATCAACACGATTTCGGCGGATTAGGTGAGCCGAAACCTAAAGCTAAAACTCTTTTATAATCTAGATAACTGTGGCCATCGCACGAATTTAAAAATTAAAATGTATTTATTTTTTATTTGTGGAGGTCTGTTAACGAGCCAAATTCTGTAATCGAGAGCATTTCTATGTTAAGTAACATTTTGCTTTGAAATTCAGAGTGACCAAGGAGAAAATACCGAAAAATATCGCGATTTCGATATTTGGGCAAAAAATATCGTTATATTTAGGTTTTGAAACACGCCAGATATAGTGGAAAAATAGCTAAACTGTCAACACTGTCGCTAGCCAGAGAGCCGCTCTCAATTTGGGAATTCCATAAGCAAATTCTGTTAACGCTCTCAATTTGGGAATTCCATAAGCAAATTCTGTTAAACTCTCATTTTAACAGAAAATTCTGTTAAACGCCCGCTCAATTTGGGAAGTCCATAAGCAAAATCTGTTAACGAGCCAAATTCTGTAATCGAGAGCATTTCTATGTTAAGTAACATTTTGCTTTGAAATTCAGAGTGACCAAGGAGAAAATACCGAAAAATATCAAAAAAAAATATCGTGATTTCGATATTTGGGCTAAAAAAATTCACGATATAAATATATCATTTTCAGGCAAAAAATATCGATATATTGATATTTTGATATATTATCAACAACCCTGTCAGAGAAACAAAACTCGACAAATTAATAAATTTTCAAAGCATAACGTGAACTGTTTCGGATATCAAATCAAAAACCTTTCGGCACACCGAGTACCGGAATAAAATCGACAAGGCTGCAACATCCGCATTTAGCATCGGCGCCCACAACTAAATTGACTTAATTAGGTGAGAAATGTGAATAAGGGGGAGAACGTGGTCGCTCGCAGAGCCACATTTTCATTTTTTGCGGGGGTGAAATGTTGTAGTTGTTAGAGTACAGTGTCGTGTCACGTTGGGTTTTTGCTATTTACGATCGACGGTGGATCGAAAACGCGTTTCCTGTGAAGATAATCTATCCAGCAGCTGCTGCTGGGGCCTTTGTGTGTGTGTGTGTGCGGGTGAGAAGGTGAAAGTAACTGCGCTTCTGCTGCTGTTACCCCCGCCTCTACCTTTTGTCTTTGTTGCAAATCCCGTTTGAAGCCCAACAAAAACAACAACAAACAAAACGTACACCGTTGATTAATGGAGATTATTGCGCAAATTCCACTTAAACTTGCACTTTTATTTGTTTTGGTTACACAGCAACTACTAAGAGCCATGGCACGCGGGCACCAGAAGATCCAATCGCAGGCGAAGACCGCCGAGAAGCAGGCCAAGATGAAGAAGCAGCAGGGCCACAGCGCCAACGACCAAAAGAAGGCCGCCCAGAAGGCTCTCGTCCATGTCTGTGCCGTGTGCAAGGTAAGATAATAGGCCAGAGCTAAGCTAAGTTGATAGAAGTAGAGTATGTCTAAAAACCTTGGTTTATCTTATACATTTAAAGAACTTTTCCATGTCCACCTTTTTATGTCACTTGTCAAAATTACAACTTAAAAAAGTTACTTTCTTAACTCTAACCTCTTTTGAAAGGCATATCTTTTAAGTAATACTTGCAAAATTAATTCAAATTATCATTTTTATGTGCCTTTCTTACAACTTTTGCTAGTAATATACAATTGTTGGTTCGTAATATTGAAAAACCTATTTATCAACAATTACCTTATACAAGTTTAAGCTAAAACTAAAATGTTGGCCAGCTAAAATATTTCTTTAGTTAGAAAGCAGGTAATTGTCTTTCATAACTAACGAAAGCTAAAGCAATTTATTAAAACTGAAATCAAGTATTATTGATAAGCAGCTCTAGTCTAGTCCAATAGAACTCAGTAAGAATAGTTAATATCTTATCAAGGTTGCTAAATTTGTATAGATTTGAAGGCTTATTAGAAACCAAGAATGACAGAAAATATAACTATCTTAATACTGTTCGGTAAATCGGTAAATTTAAATCAATTTCTCGATATAACATATAAAAAGGAGGCTTTCCTATAACCCAAAATATTAAACCAAAAAATCCTCTCTATATTTCAGTCACAAATGCCCGACCCTAAGACATATAAGCAGCATTTCGAGAACAAGCATCCCAAGAACGACATGCCCGAGGAGCTTAAGGACGTCTGATGGCCGACCTTGCCCTACGCTTACACTTTAATGGATATATCAAGCTGAACGGAGATCGTCGGAGTTGCCTACCAAGTACGAAACCTTTGCAACAATAAGTTTACACCAGCCCAAAAACAAGAACAGCAACAATCAAGCCGAAGGAGGGGTGGATAACAACAGAAAAAGAAAATAAGAATAATTATATAATTGCCAATGCAAAATCGCAGCTGAATTTTTTGTCTACACACACTGCTGACTTTTGGTTTTGGTTTTAGTTTTATACACAAAAAAACAAAACATTGAAATTAACACAGTATGCAATTGTTCGATGAAATGGCCACACAATACAAAGCAACTTTACCGCATAGCATCATAAAAATGTTTTTCATTTCCAAGTTTTTTTTTATTATTATCAGCTAGCCCATCCAACGACAAGAAGAGACATTAACAATAATTACGACTCTCTCGCTGCTCTGTTTTGATATTTGATTTGGTTTTCTTTTTGAAACAACGATTATTACAAGATTTTATAGTTTTATATACGATTTTTGTGAAAGAAAACCAATGTTTTTTGTACTATATAAACAATTGAGTAAATCATGTACATGAGAATTTATAAATACAATAAAAAGAGAAAAAAAAACTGTTTAAAAAAAATGTAACTGGTTTTGTCTTAAAATCTATTGTTAAAATGCAAGGCATTTTGTCATTCCAATAATTGTATTAACAATAATAATTACAAATATGAGAGTTCATCTTGTTTTTCATGTACAAAAGCACATATCGTTCAATTGGTAAAAAATATTACTTAGAGCGAAATATAGGACTATTTCCTGTGTCTCCGAATTCGTTTAATTTTTCTGCTTTTATGAGGATTTCGTGAGTTCATTGTCAGGATTTGCTGTTTGTTTGAATTCCCCTTTCGTTGCTCCAGTTTCAGCTGGCGGGGATTCCCCTTGTGTAATCTGCATAAATACCAAATCCTCTTTGGCAGGAAAATCAGCCAGAACTGTGATACCTATGTTATTATCCGGCAGGTGGGGCGTCTCCTCGTGATAGCCAAACCAATAGATGATGAGGCCAGGACCAAAGCTGTGGAGAAATTATTTTATTATTAATATTAAGGAAAAATTCGTTGGGAAACCCAATTAAATCCTTACCGATTGCAGTAGCTATGCAACTGCTGTTGAATGTTGAACTTGTGGCCCTTGGTATCCCCAAAATTGGCCTTGCTCTCAATCCAATTTATCACCGAGCCTTTGTAGAGAAATGGCAGTATCATCTTAATATCCGGCGTCTTGTCATAACCCATGCGCCGCAGATCATGTTCATCGTAAAAATGTATACCCGCCTCCTTGGCCAGCTCCTTGAGCTTCAGTTCATATTCCTCGCCTATTATGCGGCGACGCAGATCCGTAATGGGTCCCTCCTGATTGTCGCTTATCATGCACTGCTGGACATTGGCCGCCAGCCTAGGGTCCTCGATGAGATGCGGATGCTTGAGCATTCGTGAGATGTGCGATCTGTGTTTCAGCTTGTACTTTTCTTGTAGCAGCGTCCGGCAAAGGGCAATGGGATTTATTCCCTCGGCACAGGCCATTTGGATTAGGAGATCGTTGTCATAAAGTTCTTTCTGATCCTCGTAACTAAAAAAGAAAACTGTGTTCAAAATGGAAAGATTCACTTGAGGAGAATCCTTACGCCTTCAGCAGCTTCTTGCCACGATGATCGTTCTTCCAGTGCTGACCTCGCGACCGGTTAAAGAGCTCCGACTGGAGGATACAGGTCAGAGCCATCGGTTCGACTTCCTTGAAGAAGCGATTTCGCAGCTCGTATTCGCAGTCGATAGCCAGGCCATGGTAACCATTGATGAACTGGCAAATCCGCATGTATTCCACACTGCCCAGGATCTTTCTCGGCGCCGGCACATCCCCGCCAGCTTGGGACATTTTTTGTTTAAAGCCAGAAATCTTATAAAAAGTGCTATTAACAAGAAAAGGGAAAGAGCGCCAGAATGAACAGCTGAGCGGTGACTGCTAGTCGATTGTACACTCTCATCGATTAAGTTATCGATTGTTTTAGGGATGAGCACGTGATTTGAAAACTAAAAGTAATAATATGAAAATAGGTTTTGGAAAAAAATACATTAAAAAAGTGAAATAAAAACAATAAGTAATAAAATTAATTGATACGCTTAAATATTTTTATACAAATATTACATAGGTTAAAAATAAAGTTTAAAATAAGTAGATTAAATTGTAAAAGATTACTTCATAAGCAGGACAGTAAAATTGTACATCCTTAAAAGATTTGTAGAATTTTCAGTGCACTGCAAAAAATTATTTTCAAAATTTATTTCAATACACCCACTTAACTCTTCTTTAAAACTCAGTTTTGTTTTAGTTTAGATATATTTTTATTTTTATTACTTGTATATCCTTAAACCTAGCACGGGTTTACTTACGATCCACTTTCACATTGTTAACACTTTTTTTCTATTCCTTTTTTGCGTTATGCAAGTTGTTTTTGTTTTCCAATCAATATATAACTACAAATTGTTATTGTTTATTAGTGTGTGGTATGCGGATATTTTTTTGTCTGGGTTTATGCAAGTGTGTGCTCGACCATTAACTTAATACTAGAATATAAATAAGCTTGGTTTTTTGTTTTCTTCGTAAATGCTATTCTTATTTATCATTTGGAAGCAAAGTTCATTCATCCCTTTTGCTCGGTTTAATAACAACAGTGTCTAAGAATAAACTAAATGAGATACAGAAGCGTACAATAAATAATAATAATAATTTGGAAAATAAATAATAATATAAGAATGTTGTTTAGCTGTCAAAAGGCAACAAACAAAAGAGGAGCGGTTAATGAGGGAGTATTTCCTCAAAAAAAAATTGTATTTTGAGGACAAAAAACTTCATTCAACAATAATTAATATTTTTAAAACGTTGGGGACCCCTTTTTTTTTGAGGGATTCAGCGCTGGCTTACCATCTACGAGTAACAATATTAAAAGGTAAAGGCTTATGTATTGATCTTACGTCTAAGGCGTAGACTTTAGGTGTAATTATTAATTTTACTATTTTGAAATGTGTTTTTTTTTGGGCTAACTCCTAACGTTCTTCTTTGTAATATATATTCTTTTACCTTGTATTTTTATTTAAGCTTGACAAGCTGAACACCCCTGTAATATTAGGGCTCACTTAAACTGACCATACTATTTCTTTTCGAAGACATTTGCCATTTGATCAATTTCAAATAATAAATACAGTTAAGTCAAAGACATAATAATAAAAAGATGCATAACGTACATTATAGAATTTAAATGTATCTTTTTATTACAAGGTCTTTGATTGAGTTGGAGTTGGTCGATCGAAATATTGCACCATCTAATCTCGGACGCACTTTCTTTAGTTATTTCTTAGGTCTAATTATATTTGTAATACCAATTTTGTTACTTGACTCTAGAGCTCATGGTTTTAAGATTTACAATAAATCGAATTCGTTTCTATATTTAATATTTGATTCTGTTTTGTTTTTCGTTTTTGTTTTTTTTTTTTTTTTCGAGAGAAGGCATGGGTTATGAGCTAGCGATTTCCACGAAATACAGAGCCAGCAACATCTAGATATTATTTTGTGTATAAATAATTGCTGTATAATCTTATATAATTACGTACAAAGTGAGGAGTGAGATGGGGATGAACAGAAGAGGGGGCAATGCTGACTTTAATACTATTTTCTTTTTGTCTAACAAACGCGGTCAATAAACAATTAACAATTAATACATTCCGATTTTATATACTGCTAGACAACGCCGGGGAGAGGGGAGATTAGATTTGGCTTCGATTTGCGGATATATATTGTTAGTAGAAATGCGGCGGCGGCAACGTTTGCGAGGGCAACGTCGTCGGCTGCTGCTCCCATCAGACAACAGAATCCTTGCGTATCCTGGGCATTTGTTAGCATGTTTTTTTTATGGGATGAAGAGATGGAGACAAAACAACAACAGAATGGTTAGTGGATGGAGATTAGGTTGAGGGAATAGAGTGATGCTTAAAACTGCTTTCGCACCACATATAGTTCTCAGTCTGAGGTGCCCGCATGACGCCCACACCGCCGCCCAGCCGGCGATAGTTCATGCAGCCGCACAATCGCCATTGGTTCGTCTCCGGGTCATACACTTCAATGGTCTTTAGATAGGCTGACCCATCAAAGCCTCCCACCGCATATAGCTGACCATTTACAACGGCCAGGCCCACCTGAAAGGGGATACAATTTATAGGTTATAATACTTTAAGCTGCTATAACTTTAAGCGAATGTCAACTCACCCCGCTGCGGCGCGAGGTCATGGCCACGATGGGGCTCCAGGTGTTGGTCAGTGGATTGTAGCGTTCGGCGGACGAGAGCTCCATGCAATCGTCTCGCCCGCCTACGGCATAAATGTAATTGTTGAACACGGCACAGCCCAGGTGTTTGCGCCGCGTCGACATCGGACTAACGGCCACCCATTTGTTGTGTCTACAAAAGCAAATTTTAAAATCAATTTAAGGTTTCAACAGTGCTTAATTTTAAGTCTACAAACCTGGGATCGTATCGCTCCACGGTGTTTAGCGGACACTGGCCATCGGAACCACCTATGGCATAGAGGAAGCCACCCAGAACGGCCACGGCTACACCCAATCGACGTGTGGTCATCGGTGCCACCTTAGACCACTTGTTCTCCTTGGGATCGTAACGCTCCACGTGATTCAGACATTGGACGCCATCCTGGCCGCCCACCGCATACAGAAAGCCATCGAGCACTGCCACACCGACGCTAGTGCGGCAGGAAGTGGTTGGCGCCACATCGCAGGACCATTGATTCGTTTGCGGATCATAACGCTCGATGCTGTTCAGGTAACTCTGCCCATCGTGGCCTCCCACTGCGTACAGCAGATCATTAAGGACGGCCACACCCACGCCGCAGCGACGTTTGCTCATGGGCGCAACCATTTTCCAGTCATTGGTCTGAGGATCAAATCGCTCCACAGAGGCGATGGCATCGCCGGAGCACCATCCGCCCACGGCGAACAGCACTTCGCCGCGACGCGTCGGTTTGCGGGGTCGAGTACGTGGGCCCTGCATTAGCGGCCGCTCCTGCGGCAGCAGGAGGTAGTTCTTGGCCTCATCCACCAGATCCCGGCAAGCCTCATCGCTGCGCACCAGGAGATCGGAGCCCACAGTTCCGACAAGGAACTTCGGAGAGAGTAGGGGCAGACGGACGTGTTGAAGGACCTTGAATAACATAATTATAATGTCATTAATTTAAAATTGTAGATAATAGATAATATCGCTTTACCTGTGCCAGGTGCTGTCGCCTCTCAGCGACATTATACTTCAGCCAGGACATGACCGCATTGAAGACCTGCTCCTCGGAACGCACGTTTAGCTCGTCGCTGCAGATGATGTCCACCAGCTGGCCAACTGGCAGCAGCAGAAACTCCTCGCTTTCCATCACCTCTTGGAAGTTGTGCTGCGTGAACTTGTCGGCGATCCGCAGAAGCTCGCGGCAGGAGTGTGTGTCGGCAAAGGCGCGAATGCCCAGGCAATTGGTGGGGTCCAGCTGCCGCTTGAGGAACTCGCAGCATATGTCCTGTATCTCCACCAATTGCAGCAGGCAGGCGGCTGGCAGGAGTGTTTGGACATTCGATTCCTCGACAATAATGTGGGCGGTGTAGCAAAAATCAATGAGCAGCTCCATGGCATTCTCGTCGATGTCACGTATGGTGACCTCTGTCTGGCGCGACTCTTCCAGCTCCCCGGTGAACATGGCACAGAAGTAGGAGCTGCAGGCTGACAATATCACTCGATGGGCGAATATCTTTCGCCCGCCCACGTTAAGCACGACGTCGCAGAGCTCCCGATGACGCCGCAGCATGTTGAGTTCCGTGAGTGTAACCTTCGGGTGCTTTTCGGAAGTGTGCGAGAGGCGGGCGGGCGACGGTGGTCGGTCAAGGCCTGTGGAACCGCCGGAGGAGCCGCCGCCGCCGGCTGTGGAGTTAATGCCCGTTCCGCCCGTGATGGTGGGACCCCCGTTCCCGCCACCGGCACCGCCGCCCACACCGCCAGCGCCACCGGTGGAGCCCGGCAGGTCGCCCATTCTGTTCGCTGCTAAGCGCAGCGGGCCGGAAGCAACCCAACCCCACACGGCGTCTATCTGAGGGAATAAAATGGAGAACTGTTACAACAATTATAGGAAAATATTCAAAAATAGCAATGAATTGAATTCATCATGTTAGGTAAACTTCATTACCAAATTATGAGATTAAAGCGATTGGGAAATCAGGCCAAAAATAAATTTTTAAATTTTCAGAAGTGGATAAAAACATAAGAAAACGTTGGACTTATGTATATGGATATACACATGGTTTAATTGTTTTTGAGAGGTAGTTTTGATTAAACTCCCTTTTTTGGCGCTGGTGCAAACAATTTCGATTAATTTCCTTTTCCTCCACCAACTTTAGTACCGCCCACACACAGACACGCTATGTAACACACGCACATTCACTTGTACTCAAGAACACCCATAGACTTTGGGGTGGACCTATAGTTAGGCTTAAATCTCCCCTAAATGTGGATAAGTCCGATATATGTAAATATTTAAATAAACTTCAATTAATAATTTTCAATAAGAATTTCAGTTTCAATTCCGTTTCAATTTTAATAAAAACTGAATAGGCCAAGTAATCGCAGCCATTCGGTAAGTATTCAAAGTATAAAGGTTACTCTGAAAGTACGCGTATGGGTAGGTAATATTTTAAAAACGGAGTTATTCTGGGGTTTTTAGGCCAATTTGGGCGGATTAAGGTACACATTAAATTTTACAAGCAATCAGGTCCACCTTAACACGGAAAAACACACACACACTCGCGTAGATTTATGCAGATGTGATGTAGGTGTCCCAACCTTTGCGTCTCTGTTCTCCACGGATACAAAGCACGTCCACGGCCAGCTGCAGGCGGAAAATTTCGAAAATGCAATCTTGCTGCTGGCTTAGGGCGACCACATCGAAGATTTTCCTTGCGCCAAATGCACTTTTTTGCAGGGAAAACTCGGTTTTTTGTGGCCTGGAAAAGTCGAAACACACGGTACGAAGGTATTCAGCGTGACCATACCTGTACCGTCTAAACATACCACGAGGTTCTGCACAAAAATACTAGATTTGGTGTTTCGTTCCTGAAATAAATTCTATAATTATATATAAATATTTAACTGACCGTAAATTAATTTAATTTTTTTTTTATGAAAAATTGATTTAAATTACTTTAAAACCGAAGGAAAAGCAACTTCTGCTCGCCGGATCATTAAGAATCAAATATAATAAATATAAATAATAAAACTAAGTCATTGACTTGACAATAAATATATAAAATAATACAATTTTAAGGCTATAGGCTAGTTTAAACTTCAATAATCTTCCATTTTTATTATTCTGTAGTTAGCCTAAAATAAGCTAGACTGGCAGCACTGCAATTTGCTGGTATTTTAACTGGTAATTTAACTGAAATGGCCACACTGTACACAGAGTTTTCTATACGCGACGCTGACGAAGAGGAAGAAATTTTCCAGAAGTTGCAAGGCCCATAAATAGTGCAAAATAGTTACTAAATTTAAGTTCAAAGTGTAAATAGATATTAATCGGATCGCGACAATCTCTTGGGCAGCGAATTCGAAAGTGGAAAAGTACGTGGATACGATAAGAAAATATATCGCGAGTGTGAGACTGTGTGCGTGCGTACTAAAGTGGAGCGCACACCGTGGATGGCTCTCCACAACAATACAACAGCAACAATAAACACAGCAATAGCAACAACACAAATAACAAATGCAGAAAATGTTGAGAAAATCACAGAGAGAGCGAAAGGCGAGAGAACAATAGCGAAAGCGTTAGAATGTAAAGCAATCGAAGCATTAAATAGAGTACAAGTACAGCAATTGCATTGGAAAATCAAATTCGTGCGACAAAAGCGGACGATTGCAGAAATTTTCGAAACTTGGCAGCCATATTTACTACAAAAACAACGCCGTTGTAAAAATACGTGACAAAACGCTACACACGTTCATACACCCACACACTCTCATACGCCAACCAGCACACAAACACACGCGCGTATTGAAGGAAAAGAAAACGAACGAGGGGATAGAGCGGGAGAAGAGGAGAAAGAGAGACGCGAACGACGTGAATTAACAAACAAACAAATATTTTTGCGAAAAAGACAAACACAAAAAATTCAATAAAGTGTATTACATAAACAAACAGAGCGTCTTCGATATTATGGAAATTGCGCCACTGATAAATAACGCCGTTGCTGTCGTCACAGCCTCTGCCGCCGTCGCCGCCTCTGCCTCTGCTTCGACCAACGGCGGCAGCAGCAAGGAGAATGATAACGGTAAAGCGGGGCTCCATAGAATGATAAGAAAAGCGCTGGAATGGATCCACAATAAACAATATAATATTTATTTACATATTAGTCTACAGTGGGAATTTCCTACTACGCATATTTATTGAACCCTAAAAGCCCCTAATATATCTTCTACCCCACTCACTTCAAATGTCAATATTTATGTTAGTTTTTTTCATTATGGATGAAAATACAGGCTTTTTTTTTTAAGATTAGTAATCTTTAAGGTAAAGGAAACAGGTATTTCTTTATATTAGGAACAAAATTTTAAATATTTTTTTTATTTTTTCAATTAATACAATCAAGTTGAAGGAGGCCATTAGGACTTATATATTTGTTTGTAGATTAAAGTGTTAACTAGTTTTGTGAGTGACTTTATTTACTTTACTGAAGCCTTACTGTACCGTAGTGCCATCGTTGCACCAACACACGCCCACACTAGCGAATGTACGCGTACATGTGTGTGCATGTTGCAACACTTTTCAGCTGAGGTCGCTGAACTGCGTCGTGTTTTTTTTTTCTAAAGTGTTTTTAGAGGCCAAGCGAACGGCATAGTAATAGTAGTTTGTGCCTTTTGTCTAGATATTTGCCATTTGTTGTTGCGCAATTGGCAACAGCGCAGATCATTGGCCAGGCAGGCAGGCGACCGTCCAACGATAACGATTACTCAGCAGTTCGCCAAGGTGCTCCAATAGCATTTTCCTCAAATACGTAGACAACCTGGCAACAACTAAGACAATGTATTATTTTTAGCCACTTACAGTTGGAGCTTATCAAGTACATGGGTGTTAACTATTTAGGATAAAACCATAATTCCAATAAATTGGTCTAAGAGATTTAAGTATTGTTTAGCAGTTTTTACCTACATATTTATTATCCTCTAAAAAATTCAATAATAATTGAGGCAAAATAAATAACAAATAACTGATTAAATTTAAATAATCGTTGCAAAGCTAATTTTTTTTTGTTTGATTTTATTTTTAAACAATAAACTTTCATGGACATTGACAACAAATGCAATGACTTCAAAGAAGGTCAGGCATAAAAATATGAATATTTTACCTTCATTTTCGCGTTCAAATTACTTTGGCATAGAGATATATTCAAGTGGAAAATAGTCATAAATTATATTTTACCTTGGCCATTTTTGAGTGGCTTTGACTCCATCCAAGGTCATGGAAAAAGTGAAATCAGACAAGGAATAGATAGATATCTTTCAGCAGTTTTTCGCAGCTCCATTACCTCAGGCTATTTTTTATTTTTCTTTTTTTATTTTACTATCAGTTTCTTGGTGTCACTTGCTTATCTCTGTTTGCTTTTCTATTTCAAGTCAACAATCTGGCGCTGCTCGCTTCGTTGACTTTACAGAAAGTGCTGAATATCAACAATAACAATACCCCGCACAACAACAATCACAACCACAACAACAACAGCAATATCAACAGGCAACTCGAGCAACAAAAACAGCAGAAACTACGACGAAACCTCGATAATAAGAGCGAGAATGATGTATTGAATCAATTGCTTAAAACTGGAGCTGTTTTCACCAAAACCGCCACGCCCACGGCGCCCATAGCCATTGAGAAGAGGAAGGTATCGCAACAGCAAAATCAATATGGCCAGCAGCAAAATAATCAGCAGCAACAGCAATTCAGCGCACAGAAGCAACGTCTCAACTCATCCATATCATCGACCCACTCATCGACATCGACCAACTCCTCGTACGGCAGCAGCTCCTCGGAAGATGCGGCAGCCACATCAGCAACTTCAGCGAGTTTGGCAACATCCAGAACAACCAACACGAAGGCGTCCAGCATTAAATTGCCAGAGAAATCAAAAATTCCGTCCGATATACTTGATGATCTGGCCAGTCGGTTCATAATCAATGTACCGGACATGGAACTAAATAATTTAATTCGAATCTGTTTCCAAGTGGAGCTGGCCCATTGGTTTTACTTGGATTTCTTTTGTGCCCCCGAAGAGGGCGGCGAGGTCCAGCGAAAGTTGCCAACGGTTGGCATCAAGCAGTTTGCCATGCAGTTGTTCCAAGTGAGTCCTAGGCCCAGAGCTCAACATTCTCTTGATCTAAATTCACCGCACATGTATTTCCCACCAGCACATTCCCTTTTTGAACAAGCACCATGGCACCGTGGATCAAATTCTGGACGAGTGGAAGAACTACAAGCTGTCGGTGCCCACATATGGAGCTATTTTGGTATCCGAGGACCACAATTATTGCTTGCTAGTGCAGTCCTACTTTGCTCGCAACTCCTGGGGCTTTCCCAAGGGCAAGATAAATGAGAACGAGGATCCGGCACACTGTGCTACAAGAGAGGTGAGTCAGAAATTAAATATTTAACTAATTGTATTTAATAAAAAATTCGTTGGCTTACACAGGTTTATGAGGAGACCGGGTTCGATATTACGGACAACATCGATGCCAATGACTACATTGAGGCTTTCATCAACTACCAGTACACGCGGCTGTACGTGGTGCGCAACATACCGCTGGACACGCCGTTCGCACCCCGCACCCGCAACGAGATCAAATGCTGCGACTGGTTCCGTATCGATTCTCTGCCGGTGAACAAGAACGATGCCATATCGAAGGCCAAGCTGGGCAAGAATTCCAACTCCTTCTTCATGATCATACCGTTTGTGAAGCGCCTGAAGAAGTGGGTGAACGATCGCAAGGCTGGCATCGAGCCGCATCGTCGCAAATGCTCTGGCCAGCACTCTCCGAAAGCCGCATCGCCCACAAATCTGAATGGCAGCGGCGGCAGCTGCTGCAAGAAGGATGCGGCAGCGAAGGGGAATGCATCGCGTCGCCAGCGACACAAGTCTATGGGCGATTTGGACGGTGTCAAGTTGAATAATCTCAATGGCAAGGCAGTGGCTCCGGGTACGGGGCCAGCAGCAGCTCCCGCCACAGTTGCCGTAGCCATCAACTCAATGAATATTTGCAATAGCAATGGGAAACGCAATAAACAAAATGCGGCTGCGGGCAGCAATCAAACAACGCCACTAACAACAACAGGGACGGGCTCAAATGGAGCCGGAGGAGGAGGAGGTGTCACAATTTCCTCGAAGCGTCAGCTGTTTCATAGCCAAAGTCAGAACGATGCACAGCAGTCGGCAAGCACAGAAAAGGTGAGAATTTAAAGAGTTTTTTAACATTACATTCGGACATTTTTAGCCTAATTTATTTTTTTATTTATTCTTTTATTTAATTCTAATATTCTTTTTTTTTTTTGACAGATTGTCAGCTCTTTTGATTTGATACGCAAGGAGAAGCAGCTACAACAGAAGGCAGCCAAGGCACTGAAGCAGCAGCAACAACAAATCCAGCAGCAGCAGATGCAGCAGCAGCATCAGCAACGATCACGCACCAAATCCCAGAGTGATAAGCAGCCGCCTGTAAGGATCTTGGGCCAGCAACCACAGCAAACCACAACTGGCGTGGATTTGATAGCAATGCTATCGGCCGCAGCAGCAGCAGCAGCTCAAAAGACACCAAAGACCGAGCAGCAGCAGCAGCAGCAGTCGCAGCAACGACCAAGACCAGCCTCAGTGTCGCTGAACTTTGGCGAAGTAAGAGCAGCACCAAACGCTGCCGATGCCCAAGGCGATATGCACAAGCTGCAGCGCATGGCTTCGGGCACAAATTTAAGGATTCTGAAGCGGGCACAGTCGCAGCAACCGCAGCAGCAGCAGCAGCAGCATCAGAATCTGATCCAGCAACAGCAGCAGCCTCAGCTGGGCGGCGTTGACTTTACGCCCAATTTCAATTCGTGGACAAATTTCTCATTCACCAAGAACTTTATAGCAAATGTGTTTTGCTAAAAACCTTTTATTTCTTTTCGAGTCAAACCAAACGCTTCCCTTTCAAATTCTCAAGTGATGCAAAAGCAAAGGTTATGGGGGGAAGCACTCTCTGTGCGCATTAGGGAACCGAATGAAACTTTGGAGACTTGCCAATGAAAATGAAATCATGCCGAATTGCATTTAAAGGTTTAATTAAACACTACAACAACTACCAACACTTGATAGACCATTAATCGTGTCTAGTCCTAGGCTTTGGAGACTACATATATATTGTATAAAAGTTAAGCTTCCTGATCTCTAAACTGGAGATTTGACTTTTTTCCCCCCCAACACATATTCTTAAAAAATCGATGAGACATTTTTTAATACGAAAAACGAAAACGATAAAGCGATTTTCATACCAAAAAATAACGCGAGTCTTCCGCTCAGCACAGCACCTGTAAAGTAATATTTTGTATAAACACTGAAAACCAACAAGGTTCAACTTTAAGATCAAAGTGAGAACACGAACAGAGATTGAGTAATAATAATGCTAGAATTCTTTCGGTATTAATAAAAGTGTTTATTATCGCGCCGTTTAAACGTATTTTTAGAGCAAAAAAAAACCCAACAAACTAAATCTAAACTTAACTTAAAGCGTAGCTTTAACACAAGGCCCGAAAACAGATTGTTTGGTAGCCTTTCTGCGGGCCAAGATGAGATGGAAAATTTTCAGGGCCGTTTTACTTACTGCCCGCCCCCCACCTACGAATGATAGAATGAGGAGAACGAGAGATGTGTAAGAGAGAATACAAAATAATAACAATGTAAATAATTAAATTGTGATATAGTGTATTTCTTAGCACAATTGTGATCTTAACAAAAAACAAAAAAAGAAAACGGCTGGCAACTACAAACAAAACTTTTATAAGCAAAAAAACAACAACATTTTAATCAATCGAAACATTAAAAATAAAATAAAAATGTCCCGAAAACTGAGACCCAATATCAGGCATATCTTCAGCAGCAGAAACATTAGAGATAACCAAAACATTTAACGAATTTAAATTAGTTTAAAATTGAAATTGAAATTGCCTAAAAATGATAATGATTTATATGTAGAGAAAAGGTATTTGAGCGATTTGTAAATTTTACGATAAACCAGACGGAATGAGTACGTATATATATTTTTGTGAGCCACTAGTGCGTAAGGAAGAGCCTTTAAGAAATGTTAAGTCTTTTGATAGAACTCCTTAAGGATGTTTTTCTACCAAGCCAAGTTTCCTATAATTCGTAAGCATGTCGCGTTTTCTGCTGTGTAGTCTCCAATGTTTCCAGCAAAGTCTCCAAAACAGAGTTGCCCTTTTAGCGTATATTGTACTATGTATATCTTAAGCCTAAGCAAGGAAAGGCAAGGTCTCCAAAGAAATCAAGAGAGGTTACCCCTGTAACTTTGTCTTTTTGCATTCAATTCGATCATGTTTAATATCAATCAAATTTAGATGATGAAATTTGCATTTGCATTTGCTTTAAATCTTTTACTACTGACCTTTAAAGCTTTTTGAAAAGCCATATTAATTTTTATGTTACAAAATAACTGAACTTAAAATTTGTTTTAAACATTTCTCTTTTAATTTGGATTCGGATTACTTTCTATTTTTTAAACAAACTTATTTTAGGAAACTTTAATCCGTTTCCCACCCCTGCGTCAGACAAATGTCCAACGAAATTGACAATACATTTGGAACCAATTCTAATCCGTTAACTCTTCAGCTCTTTTACTTTAACTTTTAATTTCCTTTGACATTTGTCTGTGCCAAATAAACAACAACAACAAAGAAACATCAAACTTATCCAGCAAGCAATGAATATCAAATTAAGAACAAGAACAGCATTGTTACAGCTTAATACAAAATTAAACCCAAAACAATATATTGTACAATTTTGTTAAGAACAAAAGGAAATCAAAAAACGAAACCAAAATTAAATCAAAACCGATGCCTAATCTGTTGAATCCTTAGCTCTCCAACCCCGAAAATACAATATTAGAGTTCATTATTTACTCTTTCGCCAATCACACACCAAAGACCTTATAATAACAAGATGCATAACGGCCATAAAATTAAATTGTCTTCTCAAATACAAGAATTGGGTTTTAAAGAACAGAGCCTGGTTTGAGCACGAATAATTCGAGTACAGAAAAATCGTATTGCGTTACTCATCTTGTTATTATAACTTCTTTTGCATACACCCATAGACATAGCAATACATCAATTACGTTGGTAATAAGCGGGCTCCTGTAACCATCGACACAAATAAGTTAATTTAAGTGAACTTTGGATGCGATTCAAATCTTGCCATCAGTTGAATGTCCAAATACTCGTTCCAAACTACAAATTTGCTATGCATTTTAATCATTGTATCCCAAAAAAACAAAACATAATGTGAAATCTGTCAACACGTCCACAAACTAAGAAAAATATGGGTTGAATCTGCACAAGAATAGATTTGCTCAAAATTTCCAAAAAAAACAAACCAAAAATATTGGAAATCCTGCGGAAATTAAAGCAAATTAGCAGGTTGAGTAAATCTATTCTGTAGTGGCAGTAATCATAAAATATCAAAAATACAATTTGTAGAATTTAATGCCAAAACAAAAACTTAACTCTCTCCAATCATGAACAACAATTGTAGCGTAATAATTATCAGATGAATATAGTTTCTGGCAAACAAAATATATATTTCCATTATTTTCAGTCCCCAAAAATTCCGGCAATAAATTGATGTACCCCCAGTTTTAATGAGTAATTTGTATTATTTTGGGAATTGTGGGTAAAAAAGAAGATCCCTAAAGATTAATTGATCAAATATCGATCAATTTTGAATTAATATCTATATTTCTCTTTATATTTTGAAATATGTATATGGATCACTCCGAAATGTAAGGAATAATATGGATATCTAGGAGACGAATAATAATTTTTCCACATTTTCAAAGCTGAGAAAAGTTTTTTAACGATTGCGTAGAAAGCAATTGAATTTTCAGAATTTGGATAATCAATAAACGCGTTTCAGATCAGCTTAATTTCATTATATATTTTCAAGTTTAATCTTTAACTTATTCATTTATTTCGACAATCAAGGCGTTACATAAGATCCATGTTGCTTTATAAACCCATAAATCTTAACTACAATTATTTATTATTTATAACGATAATTTTCTTTAATTCTTTTCGGAAACATTTATGTATCTGCCCTTCCGAAATACGATTTGCTTGGGCAAGCTGATGAATTCTCCGTCTGGATTGACCTTTATTCGCTCGACAGGTGGCTCCTCCTTTTCGCCCGGCACTATTCGTCTGGTGTACGGCACCTTCCGCCCATCCGGATGCACACGCTGGGCAGGATCCAGCTTCATGAACTTTCCCTCCAGCTCGCAGTGGGCCATCTTGTAGTGGGAGCGCATATGGCTCATGTAGTTACCAGGAGCGGTGGTGACATTACATCCCACAAACGGACACATTTGGCCAGTGCCCCTGTGCCAGTTCATGTGCTTCACATACCGCTTCCACACCCGGAACCTGCGGCTGCAATTCGGATAGTTGCAGTCGTAGACGTCGGGGGGAGAATGATTTGTAGAATTGTGATAGCGCAAGTGCTTCTGAAAGGATCCATAGTACTTGAAGGGCATCTGGCAGGACGGACAAGAATACTGCACCGAACTGTGAATGCTATTCTCGTGGCGGATGGTGTCGGAAAACCGAGAGAACATTTCGTCGCACTTCAGGCAACGGAAATTGATGTCCCGGTGCCGTGTCAATGGTTTCTTATGATCCTCGGCCTCTTCGTGATCTGCCAGTTGCTTTGGCTTTTGAAAATTCGCTCCACAAGTGCCACAGTAGTAGGTGGGACTCTTTCGTGTCATGGGATTGTGACTCCGAATCTGAAGCATGTTATCGTATGGCTGATCGCAGCAAGAGCACATCAACCTGGTGGCCTTGGTATTGTCCTTGAACAATTTTGCGATTACCATTCCATCGTGCCCGATGGCAACGCAGAAAAAGTCCGACTTCTTTGGGGTGCCTTTCGGACCTTCTCCTTGCGGAGTTTTTGTTTCCTCTGTAGCCTCAATAGTTTTATCCTCTGCGACGTCCATCTCATCATCCTTTTCTGGCGCTGCCTCTTCATCCATCTCATCATCCTTTTCTGGGGATATCTCTTCCTCATCGTCTGAGGATGGAACCTCTAGCTTGACCTGAAACGCCTTAGAGTCGTCTATTTCCAGTGGTGTATCCTTCAGTCCCTCCTGGGCCCTGCTCCATTTCTTCAGAGATTCGCTTATGTGTAGAACCCCATCGAAGCACGCTTGGCAAATGCAAGAGCTCTCTCCCAGGATGGAGATCTGTGGATAGGTATACTTGTAGGATCTATAGATGTGCATATGTATGCACGTATGCATGTACAGACTTACATCAATTTTGTAGCATTCAAAGAGCTTCTGAAGCAGTTGGTTTACTGCCTTATACATGGGCTTCTCGAGATCAACCTCCATCGCCTGCTCCTCCCGGCACAAATTGCACCGTCGCTCCTCCGACATTTTTTACGCTTTTATCAATTATTTTCGGGCAGATGAAAAATTGGAGCTGGAAAATAATCAATGATTTTATCGATACCAAGTCGATACTATCGATAAAGCGATTAACAAATAAATATCGAAGCTTGGAAAAACATCGATAATTATTGTTAAAATAATCGAATAGCGAGCTGAAAATAATTCAATTTTTTGTGAAAATTAATATCGATGTATTTTATGATTGAAAAATCGATTATATGCTCGATTTTAAATTAACCAAATTCATACATTTATTATAACAAAACCACATTTTTATTACCTCATTTAATTTAAAGTTTTGCCTTATAAATAATTAAATATTTTATTTTATTACCAAGAATTATGTGCTTGTCTTTTCCTTTTAACCAAGCTGGCTCGTGCCAAGCTGGCTCGTGCCTGCGGTGACAGGTGCGTCCTTAGGTGCAGATCGTGACCCCTTGGATTCATTATGACGGTACAACCGTCGATGGGACACTCGGATCTGTGGTTATTGTGCCAGGCCAGGTGCTTTGTGTAACCTGGCAACGATCGGTATCGTGTTGAGCAGTTTGGATATCGACACAGGTAGGTTTGGTGCTTCAGTAGATGCTTTTGGAAGAACTCGCGGACCTCGAAGGTCACCCGGCACTTGTGACACTCAAGGGAGGACTTGTCGTGGGCTTCGTTCTCGTGCCTGATAGCCTCACTCAGTTGCTTGCTCCTCGTTCCGCACTTAAGGCATCGCATGACCATGGCCCTGGTCTTTGGCCTCGAGTGTTTCTTTATTCGCTCGTGCACCTTTAGTTCGAAGAAGCTCGGATAAATGGCATCGCAGACGCCGCACCAGTACTCGGGAAGTGCACGGCTTTTGGACGCGTGCTTTTGGATATCAGATAAGGTGGCAAACAACTGGTTGCAGCAGGTGCACAGCATCCGAATGTTGCTCTCCTTTGTCTTGTCCTTGAACAGTATGGTTAAGGCCAAGCCATCGGGTCCTAGGCACACACAGAAGAAGTTCTGGGGATTCGATCTCCAATCGGTATTTGCTTTATCTGCTGACATTTCCTTGTCACTTTCTTCGGAGCTTACTACTTCGTCATCAGAGCTTAAGGTGTCATCGGAGGATAACTCTTCTATTGGATCCTCGTCGCCCTCTATTATCTCTATGTCGTCCGTTTGGGGTTCTTCCACTTTTATAGACATGACATTATCTTCTGGCAAAAACTCTTCTTGAATCTCCGAGAACTGGGCATCTGAGTCGGGCTCCAACTTGATTTGAAATATCTTGGAGTCGTCGATGTCTAAAGGAATGGCCTTGAGCACTTCCTGGGCCTTGCTCCATTTCTCAAGGGTTTCGCTCATATGTAAAACCAAGCCGAAGCACTGTTTGCAAATGCTTGATTGTTCCTCCAGGACAGACACCTATAAAATAAAGGATAATGTACTTATACGATATTTAGGAAGTATAGTTTAGACTCACATCAATTTCGTAGCTGTTCAAGAGCCTTTGGAGCAGTTTCCTGCTGGCCGACTCAACCTTGAGATCGACATTTACAGCGAGATTATCGTGGCACAATTTACAAAGGACATTATCTGACATTTTACAGGAATTATTCATTTACTTTCAACGTGAACATATAAACAGGGTGACCACACTTATAGGATCCAAGAATGAATAAAAAAAAAATACGATTTGTATCTCAAAAATACAAAAAATACTCTTTGTGTCTCATTAAAAATATCATCGAAATACCTATATTTATATAGTATTTTTATCGCTGCAATGACTTTTTGTTTTGTAAGAAATAAATGTGCTAGATAGAGACAGAAAAGGTATAAGCAGGGTGACTGCACTGACAAGAATACATAATACTATCGCATTTAAGAATAAATTTAAAAATAACATTTGTTTCTAAAAAATACCAAATTTTAATAGTATTTTCTTAATACTATAGCATGCAGAATTTATAAGGAAAATACCATTGAAATACCAAAATTTAATAGTATTTAAAAAAATTTATAAATAATTAAAAAAAAAAAAAAAAAAATGAGCCCATATAAAACCATAAATTAATTTACATTTTAAATTCATCATAGAAAAGCTTTCTAAATTAAAACAAATACTTTTTTGGCTTTGATCTGATCTTCTATTTCATAAGAACTTATATATATTTATTTCAATAATAGAACAAACTTATTACTAATATTATAATTAATTTTTACTGAGATGAAAATTAAGTTTTAATTTTTTTATTCGTTAATTTTGTAACCCTATCATTCGCATACTGGAAATACTTTTGCGTTATCCGATCGAAGTCTGCATCGTCTAAAGCAAATCTTTGCTTAAAGGCGGCTATAAAGAATTATTTATTAAAATTTTACAAAATATATACAAAATTATAACTCACCTCTAACTGCCGCCGTAACTAGCAGCCCTCGTACACACAATTTCGACTCTGTTCCACGCCACGAGCATTGACGAGCCACTTCGTCGGACACCATTTCGCGCCAACAAGTCCTTATAAATTTTTCAAAAGACTTTCCCGAGCACAAAGACAAGTCGTTCACCTAAATAAATAAAATATAACAAGTATATAAAATATATATCAACTTGTATAAAATTGACTTACAAATGTTGTAAATATATTGTTGTCCTTAAGTGTCGATTCAAAGCTTTGAAACTCGTCCATGGTAGCGAAGGGTTCAGGCGGCATAATGATTTTGGACTTGAAGATATCCCCACAAACTTTCGATTTTATGGTCGCCACTTCGCTCCTTAGAGATGTCATCTCTGAATTCATCCTTTCAACAGATTTTTGTATCTCTCCAAGTATGTTTATTTCTAATAATTTAAGTAAAAAATATTATTGCCATAGTACTAGAACCAATTATATTTTCTTACCAGTTATTCGGCTCTTCTTGGTGGATGCTGTAAGATCCTGAGTGTTCTGCGAATTGAAGATTCCTTCAACCATGTTAAATGCATGAGGTACTACGTCTTCGAGAAATCCTATATCATCGGTGGCACGTCCTTCCTCCTTTATGGACATGTCATCATCGGACTGTTCTTCCTGGGAATCAACTTCAAATACCTTGGAGTCGTCTATGTCCAAGGGGTTAGCCTTCAAAACTTCCTGGGCCTTGCTCCATTTCTCGAGGGTTTTGCTCATTTTTAAAATCGACTCGTAGCACTTTTTGCAAATACTTGATTTTTGTTCCAGAATGGAGACCTGTGGGAAAGCCAGGCATGTTTATACGAGCTTTGCTATATTTGGTAGGACGACGACGACTCACATGAATTTGATAGCTCTTAAAGAGACTTTGTAGCAGTTTCCGGCTGGCCGACTCAACCATGGACCCAACCTTGAATCCGACATTTATCGCCAAATTATCCTGGCACAATTTGCAAAGGCCACCATTCGACATTATAAATAAATTATAATTTTGTTTTTTTCAGCTGGTAAACATGTACGAATAGAGATGGAAGCTTCCGGCGTTTTGTTATGTATATCGATGTTCTGTAAAATATATCGAAGTATCGAAGTGTAAAAATCTGGCGATGATTATCGGAGATTATTTAAAATCCTTGAATAATCAGGGAATACAAGTATATTTATAACCCTTTCTTAAAAAAACCTTGTGTTTCTCAATCATCTAGTTTTATTTGTAGCCTCAAATTAGTTCCTAAATCTATGCCTTTCGTGTGCCCATAAGTGCTCCTTTAGGCGAAATAATTTCGACTCCTTCATAGAATGTTACTTGGTTTTTGCTGTGCGTTTTTAGGTGCTTTATGTGATCTCCCGGCATCATGATGCTCTTGCAACCTGGAACGGGACAGCGGCTACCATTGTGCTTGTGCCAGTTTAGGTGGCTTACATACGGTTCCCACAATTTAAACTTTTTCTGGCAGTTGGGATAGTGACATACGTGGTTTCTATGCTTCCACTTGTGTTTTGTCAAGGATACGCGGGAACGGAAGGACTCTCTGCACTTCTTGCAAGCGTATTTCCCGCCGTGTATAGTTTTTTCTTCTCGAATTGCACTTGAAAGCTGTGTGGTTATTTCGGCACACTGTTTGAACTTTTGGTGATGTTTAGCTAAGGATTCGCGGGAATGGAAGGACTCGCTGCACTTCTTGCAATCGTAGGAGATCTTGTCGTGGACAGTGTTCTCATGTCTAACTGCGTTTGAAAGCCGTGTGGATATCTTGGGGCACTTTAGGCACCTGAAGCCCATTTTGCTGGCCACTAGACGATGGTTTTTGTATTCTTTGTGAAACTTTAGGTCCGTAGTGCTGGGGAAATTTGAGCCGCAGGAGCGGCACTAATACTCTGGATGTGCACGGCTCACCAAACTGTGTTTCCTGATTTTGGACACAGTAGGAAACACCTGGTTGCAGCAGGTGCACAACATACGAATGCTCCTCTGTGGAGTCTTATCCTTGAACAATACGGCTATTGCCAAGCCATCTGGTTCCAGGCAAACGGAAAAGAATTGGTGCGGAGTCATCCTCCAATTCAAAGAGTCTGTAGATTTATTTTGAATCTCCTCGATTCCAAATAGTTCCTCATAAACTTTGGCAGACACGTCCTCAGCCTGATGTTCAACGTCCTCTGTTTGGGGTTCTTCCACCTTGAGAAATTCTACGTCCATATTGAAGAATGCCAAGTCTTCCTCGTCGAGAAATGTATAGTCTTCTGATTGTGGTTCTTTCTTGTTGAGAAATTCAAATTCGTTCGATTTGAGAGTTTCGTCCTCCGCTATGAATTCTGCATCATCAATTGCATCCCATAATGAAGATGTTGGTTCCCTTTTGACAGCAATGTCCAGGGCGGTCTTCTGCAGGACCTTCTGGGCATTGCTCCATTTCTCAAGTTGTTGGCTTATTTGTAGAACCCCTTCGAAACACTTTTTGCAAAGGCAAGGGCTCTCTCCCAGGATGGAGACCTGTAAAAAGCAAGGGTAATATAGTAAAATCTTTAAAAAGTAGATTTATTAAACGCACATCTATGTTGTAGCAGTCGAAGAGCCTTTGTAGTAGGTTGCTTACAGACTTATACGAAGACTTCTCCAGGTCGAACTCAAGAGCCTGGTCCACCAGGCACAATTTGCAACTATTTTCATTCGGCATTTAAGCAAATAAAGGTTTTTAAATGGAACAGTTCATTCTACAAAAATAATAAGAACTGCTAGAGAGGGAAAAACAAATTTATAAATCGATGTTTTAAAATATATCGATATTTTTCTACTCCGCTGCTGAAATCGACGTTGCGCCATCTCTAGTTCAAGAACGCAAACTACAACAAGAAGTTTTCCCATCCGTGTGACGTGAAAAGTGCATAAGTTTGTTCAAATTAGTTTAAGTCTAATTTATTAGCCAAACAAATAAAGCCATGGTAGGTAATCGCATGATTCTCGAGCTTAAAGTAATTGCTAAATTGCTGACAGTGACTTCTGTTTTAGTGCGAGCGCCGCGCGTTACGTGTGTGTGAGTGGGAGTGTGTGTGCGTGTTAAAAAAAAAGCGGCCGCCGCGTCACAATACAAAATTGTGTTTCGATTTTTCCCCAATATTCTTGCCTAATTGAAATTCGAATTTTTTTCCCGATCTCTGTGACCCGTTGTGGATGTGGCGAACCTGGCGCAGTCGTTTGCGGAAAAGATAACGAGTCTGCTGGCACGGCCGAACCAACAAGATCCAGTCGGACCGGAGCAGCCCTGGTACCTTAAATATGGCAGTAGATTGCTGGGCATTGTGGCCGCCTTCTGTGAGTATGATATATTATAGGCCAAAACTCCCCAGCTCTAACCCCTTTGCAAAGCCAGCGGAAGTTGGCAAAAACCGCCGTGACATTGGGCGGTCCAAAAATATTTGGCATCGATTTTTGTGTACCACTCGTTGTTGTTGCTGTTATCTATTCGTAGGTGTGTGTGTGTGTGTGTGTGTGTACGCACGCTCTCTGACATTGATAAAGGCAAAGAGAGGAGACAGAAGGTGAAGACAAAAAGGATACAGAAATTTGTACGGGAATGTGTGTGTCTGTGTGTGTGTAAAGGAACTTTTTCTGTGTCAAGTTTGGCGCTTTGTTTTTTTTTTTATTATATTTTTCTTCTTCCTGCTCCATATCAATTGTAATTCTGTTTGGTTCATTCACTTATAATTTGCATTGCCTTTTGTTTTATCAGCATCGCTGTTGGCCTCTCTCTGTTTTTCCTTTTTTTTTTTTTTTTTTTTTTAACTTTGTATCGCCTGAATGCGCATTTTCTTTGTTATGCGTTTTTATTTAACCTTAACCCTTGGTGTGCCCCACGTGTCAATCGAATCTAGTATCTGTAACATGACAAGTTACTATGAAATTTTTTTGCAAGCTGATATCAGTTATTGTGAAATAATTAAAATACATTTTATTCAGATGAATTATAGATGATGATAGTAAGACAATATAATTTTATAAAGGCAGCTTATTTCAGCTTTCTGATTAATTGATCTTGGGGTTAACTCGGTTCTTAACGCTGTTATCTCTAATTTTTCATATAATTATTCTTTGCAATATTTTTCTGATAACATTTTAGCTTTAATATTATGTCAGTTCCTTATAAATGTATCCAGAGGGTTAAATGCTTTCTTTTAAAGCCATTGAAATATATTTTTTTTCAATGGCGTTTCTTGCCTCCCGCATCTTTTGTTGTTAAATTTCCTGGAGACTTTTTTTTATTCACTTGTGGGGGAAATGGAGAAATAGCAATTGTTGCCCAACAAATAAACACCATCCACTTAAAATCAATATAAATAGCCTGTAAAGCTCAATTAAGGGAGAAAACTCACTCGTGCGGCTTCCACAATGAACCGGTTGTGTTTGGGTAAAATAAAACCAAAAGTCTATGATTAATAAATAATTTTATAGCCGGTCTCCGCAGAGCACAACGACTTCTTCCCCCCAAGTTGGGCTTACGAACCGCAACAACCTCAAAACGGAGATCGGATTTCGCAAAAGGGAAACATGAATCTCAGAGATTCTGTACTAAAAAATTTAAGTTTCATTTAGCTCTCCCTCGTGATCTAATATAATTTCTCTCGCAACTTTTATACAATTATCACGTCCCAGACATTTATCTATCTCTAGCTTAGAGTCGCATGTATAGTAAGTGTTGTTTACTTTGTGCTTATGCTTTTATCATTGCCCTAAAGCAGCTGATAAAATATTTTAATGTAAGTGGCTTCAACACCCCCTAACTTTATCAACAAAAATGTAGAGCATTCGCTCCATTAATGTCTACTAACAATTTGCTCAACTGTTTTCCCCGCTAGTTGTTACGCTTCTGTGGCTTTCTTTGTTGGTTATTTCTGAATAAAAGTTGAATTGTGGACACATTATAACGTAAAAAAAATTGGCACACACATGAGTCAGAGTTGTTGATTAGATTGTGCGGTTTCGAATGTTTTCATTTCTTTTATGGAGCATTTGGATGAGATAATGGGTCTCGGGGGCGTATTTGATTAAAATATATTCGTGTGTCCCCTGGGTCAGTGCTTAACGATTTCAGCATAAAGGCAACGCCCTTGGAATTTGAATAAATCGTTAAATATAAATAACAAAATTATTTAATTATGAATAAATATATACTAGCTATTTATTAAATTAAATGAATTCATATTGTTTGTACTTCCAGTTGCCATACTCTTCGGTCTGTGGAATGTTCTGTCCATTATCACACTCAGCGTATCATGTCTGGTGGCGGGCATCATACAAATGGTGGCAGGGTTCGTAGTAATGGTCCTGGAGGCGCCCTGCTGCTTTGTCTGCATCGAGCAGGTCAACGGGATCGCGGATAAGGTGGACTCCAAGCCCATGTACTTCCGGGCTGGACTCTACATTGCGTGAGTGACCAATAATGAACCCAAAATTAAACCATAATTAATTGTAAATTTTTAAATTTATTTACAGCATGGCTACTCCGCCCATTTTCATGTGCTTTGGCTTGGCCAGCTTATTCGGCAGTGGCCTGATCTTTGCCACCGGCGTGGTGTACGGAATGATGGCGTTAGGCAAGAAGTGAGTTTGGTTAAAACTTTAAAACTTGGACAGAAAATAAGTTGCCAAAGAGTTTAGAAAATCGTTTCAAAATCAAAATCAAATAATATCAATATTCCTGACGTTTTTCTGAACTCTCAAGCGATTTGTATTCCAAGTCTGGTAATAAGTTTAGTTGCTAAGCGAGAGAAGGAGCAGCAAGCGATTTATAGTTGGCCCAAGCTAAGCCATTTTTTGCTAATCGAAACCAAACTGTTTTTCTCTATATTCCCACAATGTGCTTGCCACTGTGAAAAACAAAAAACGCTTAACAAACGAATCTGTATAAAATAATGTGTGTAGAGCTTCTCGGGAGGACATGGCCGCCGCTGCCACATCGCCCACACAGATGGCCGGCAGTCAGGCGGGCGGTCAGATGCAGATGGGCGGCGATCAGCATATCACACTCATGGAAGATCCCGACGTTTGGCGCCCCACATAAATGCCTAGCCGAGCGATTAGTAACTGCCAAAACCACAGCAACTCTCACACTCCAGATACAGATACTCAGATACTACACCCAAAACACCCACACAACTAGAAATGCAAACGATGCAGCAAACAAATACTTTACGGCGCCTAGTTTTTAGTGTTCGTTCCAAGGAATAATGTGTAACTAGGAGAAGATTCCATTAGGCGTTTGTAGGAGGGCATCAGAGATCAGAAATAGTATACAGAACACCCCACCAATTACAAAGGAAAATTTAAAAACTAAAATTCTCATTATTGTTGAAACAAAGAGACAGCGTGAGAGAGAGAGAAATTGTTAGTAATCAACGTGTTTTTTGGGCCAATGCATTTTCGCCATTCCTCTCTTTTTGCATGCCGGTCATTCGTGTATTCCAATCTTTTTTTTTTTAATGTCTTTCGTCGAGCGGTTGGTGTTGTTGAAAACTACAGTTAAATATATATATATATTATATGCCTAGAGAAATACTGATACAAAAATAACGTAATACACATGCCGGACTTCAGCAGCAAGCATATATTTTTAGTGAGAAACTATATTTGAAAGCTAACCGAATGCAAGAAGAACCTATATGAGTAACCACAGCTTCCACACTCACACTAGGTACACACACACACACAGCTAAGGGTACTAAAAAGCAAATACGATAATATGGAGAACCTAGAGCAATATGTACAACTCAGAAAGTATTAACTTTATATGCTTTGCTTCAATGTAAACCATACAATTAAATGTTAAACGTTGTTTGAGAATTGATTTTGCTCTCAGGATAGTCACAAATTGAAATTGAAACATAATCAAGCATTATAGCAGAGTAAATATACAAATCAGATATACAACAAGTTGAGGATTTAAAAGTTTTCATATTTTTTAAATGTTGTAAAACCAAAAACAATTTCAATTTTGTATCTTTATTATCAAAAATATTGGGTTATTTTTTACACTCGTGCTTCTTATAATTTCTCATGCGCTATAAATATATACTTGTTTATTTTTTGTTTATGCCTAAGTTAAGTTTAAGTATTTATTCCAAAAGGTTTTTACTTTGAAAGTCTGAATGAAATTCATATTTGAGATATGTATTTTATCTTCCTTTGAAAAGCATTCCAAACTCTGTTTTTTTTAAGTTTATTAAATTATTTATTTAACCTAAGTACACATTATTTTGAAGAAAACTCGCATTAACTTGTTACAAAATAGCCTTTGCAAGAGAATCTCACCTGAAAGTAAGCTAAAATGAAATCAAATAAATTTTGTTGAAATTTGTTAATCGATGAACGCAACACTAAAAATGAAAACATGTAAAATATTTCGTTTACCATGGATTAAGCATAATTCGAAAAAATATATCAAAGACTTTGTAAATGCCACATGAGGAAAAACCAGACAAAAAACTGAACCGCTCAAAACCCAATTACACCCAACGACGGCTTTGCTGCGTCGCCGAGATCATAAAAGGCAAATAAATTTTGAGTTTTCCTTAGATGTAATCACTTAAGACTTGTATTCTCTAGACTGCCTTGCCTATTTGTACGCTATTTTTTGTAGACAAACATTTTCTATGTAGAATTAGATATATTGGAATTTTAATTATTGTAAATTTTTGATAAAAAAATATACACAGCTCCCGTAGTTCCCTAGTTTTTGTCTTAAACTCAGAGTACTATTTTTTTTTTATATAATTTTTTGTGCCAAGAGGCATCTTGTTCTGTTCTTTCGCCCCTTTTGGTTCTATGTAGGCACAAATTACAGTTTGGTTAGTCGAGCACTATATATTCTATTATATTTCATTATTTCTTATATTAGTTTGGTCTTTTTAAATTTAATTATTAAAATAAAACTAATAATGTCTTGCAATTTCTTCTTAAAACAGAGCCTCCGCTGAGGATATGAGGGCAGCTGCTGCTCAACAAACCTATGGAGGCAATACATCTGCTCAGACCACCAACGATCGAGCGGGCATTGTGAACAATGCCCAGCCCTTCTCCTTCACCGGCGCCGTGGGCACGGATAGCAATGTGTGATCCAAAAGGTCCAAATAAATCGTTGGGAAAGGTGTGCCGTGAGAAAACAAGACTCAAAACGCAACATTTGAAGGGCAAACCTAACCAGGAGAACACACACACCCACACATTAGCAGGCAATCTACAACATAATCATGTGCAATTCGTGTAATTTTGTTTCAGTAATTAACATTGTTCAGCTCTGATCTCTCTCTAGAGCAGTCCAAGAGTCCAGTCCAAACAACAGTCCCTTTTAAGCAAAAAGTTAAAAGTATTCACACACACACACACAGTTTCATATTAAATGTTTGTAAATGTATTTTGGCGTTTTCCGTGTCCTCTATTACTATTAATTGTGTTGCCTGTGTTTCCCATCATTCCAAAATCTATTTGGTTTCAAACTTAGTGGAAATTGAAAAGTAAATTATTGAAAATCACTATCGAGGTGACAAAAGAGAACATCATGTAAAATTTATGTTTAGTCATAGTTTAAATATACCTTAAATATATTTAAATGCATAATACTAAAATGTTTAAATTAATGCAAAATAAAACTATAAATATTGTATGTAAACCATATTAAAATTGAATTATACATACTTTAAATTATGTTAAATAAAATTAATTATACAAACAAGCAACTGAGAGTATCTCTTTATAATTAAGAATCAAAAAAAGGACATTGAAATATATGTTGATAAAATATTTTATTAAATATTAACTTCTTTAGAACATTAATTTTTTTTAAGTATTTATAAAAACAAAGAATTTTAGAAAACAAACAAAATTAGGCTTCGTGGGAACCGCTTTCCTCGCTTCCCTCTACACTTTCGGAGCTCTCCCCACTTTCGGGGGCCAGTTCCCAGATTTCGATTTCCTCGAACTCATCGCTGTCGTCCTGATCGTCACCATCTTGGACATCATCGTCATCTTCGTGGTCATCTTCTTCATCCGAACCTTGCTCAGAAGATGGCCAACGGTAGCGACGGTCGCTGATGACATCGCTGTCCCGTTCGGCTACCTCGGCGGACATGCTGACGGCAAACACCAGGGCCAGGACACCTACAATAAGGTGGAGATTTTTATTATTTCAAATTCAAGTTATTTCTTTAAGGATTTTCCTTTGAACTCACCGAAAACCAGGAAGAGAACTTTGTTGGAAGGCATTTTGGTTGATTGATTGGTTGATTGTTGCTTGAGACTTGAGATGCTCGATGCTTCGATGCCAAATGAGGCTTAAACTCGGGCTTTTATACCCAAAATTTCATTTTGGCAAATGCCTTGCCAATTGTTTGACCTAAAAGTTAGTATTTGGGAGGTCCCACCACGCTACTTGCCCTACAAATCTGAATTAAAACAACTAACAAAATATTTGCCTAAGCTTTAAAAATTTGGGGTTGCTAGTGACTGACACAAGGTCAACAGTTTTGGGGCAGGTTTCGGTAGCTTAAACTTTGTTTAAATGCTTATTTAGATAGCTTTAATATTTATGTTTAATGAACAATTTTTTAAATTAAAAATTCAAGATATTTTAAACCGAATTTACCGATTAAGTTCATAATTTAAATATTTAATAAATAAATAAATTTAAATATCACAATTTTTTGAATATCTTTGGTCCCCTTTTAGTAACGATTAGATACGATTTTACTTAACAATTATTATATTAAAATATTAATACATCCATAGAGAAAAGTTAATAGTTTAAAAGTTATAAATTGTTAAAGAAAAATACATTTCTTATTTGGATTTTTATAGATTCTATGCCTGCGATTGAGTTTAACTTCCTTTCTTAAATTTTCTGTTTCGCTCAAAAGTATGCAGCACAATTGGGTAAATTTTATGTAGAATATATTGTATGTATTTTACAATACATATACATTACAATACATATACATTCTTAATAGAAAATACACCTTCTTGGCAAATTCCAGGTAAAAACTAGTTAGTTTTCCTCCTCGCAGGCATCAATCCAATCTAGACATATACGCCGCCGCGCCACGCCGCCGCCGCCGCCGATTTTTGCCTTATTTGACGCGCCGCCGCCAAATTATGAAAATAACGGCGCGCCGCGGCGCGCCGCTGGTGCGGCATCGGCGCAGCTTCAGCGCGGCCTTCAGTGTCATTGTTCTTTATAAAACTTTAAAAAAAATAAATAACTCATTAAAATGGCCTTTTTGCCTTATTTGACGCGCCGCCGCCGCCGGTTCTTTCTGACTACTACGCCGCCGCCGCCGAGTCATTTTGACCTCTACGCCGCCGCCGATGCCTTTAACCATCGGCGTAAACCTCTAATCCAATCATTGAAGACATCGATTGGCTCCGATAGCAAGTTGACGGACGTCTGATACTTTTCCAAGCAGACAGTACAGCTAACACGTCCTATTTTTCGCTCCTTATCCCTAAAATAATTCAGTTAATAGTAATAGTTGATGGCTTATAGAGAAATCGACATACATTTTCACTTCGCAGGCTTGTTTGTGATTGCAAAAAGGACAATCGAAAAGTACAGGCAGCGGCACAATATTCTGTCGCCGTGGTGGTCCTTTACGTTTGGACTTGCGGCGACCCATTTTAAATTAAATATTTAAATAAATTAAGATTCAAATTGCAAAACAATTTATTTCCGAAAAATGATTTGGCAATTAGAGCTTTGACAATATACCAATGTTCCGGAAAAAAGCCAACAAGGGAAGAAAAAGAATTGACTTTTAATTCAGCGGTTCCTTTAATTGAATTTTAAAAGGACTGAAGTAAACAAAATTCAGGACATTTTAGAGTAAATAAATTGGAAAATAGTTAAAGTTCGTTAAATATAATAGGATTTAATTCAAATAATAATATAAATAATTTAACTAACATAAAAAATTATTAAAAGCGGTTTATGTTTATCTACAGCTTCCATTATATTCCTTGGGGGATTCTTCTACAAAACAAACACTACTTTAGGCATCTTTTTAGTTAATATCAAAGCACGTGAAGCTTAACGTAAATAATTAAACAACTGTCTTTCTGTTTGTATATAACATTTGTATTTATTTGTAAAAACCCATTAAAGTAATTCCGTGTATTTGGCTCTTCTAAATAGACGGAGGTATAAAAGAGGCAATGTTTATTGCAAAGTCTTAAGACCTTCGTGAACCAGCAGCACAACACGATCGGAATGAAATTCTTCGGTTATATCTTCTTTCTAGTGAGTTATGGAAAATACATATTTATTTGGAATAATATTAATACTAATACTAATATTATTTTAATTTTAGTGCCTAATTCTGGCCCTCTTCTCGTCGGTGATGACGGCACCACTGCCGGAGGGTGATCCAGATTTTGAGTATGAGCAAGAAGGGGAGACAGATCCTACTGAAAATTGAGAAAACTTGAAATACAAATTATAATTTTTACAAAACAAACAAGGAATTATTATTTATTATTTACAAAAGTAGGGTAAGCTGTACTTAAATGTTGTATATGAAAATCTTATTCCAAGAGGTCCAATACATTATTTGCTTAAGATTTTAATATCAAGAAGAATCCCCTAGCCATAAAGATCTTCATTTTAAATTATTTGCCTATCTTCCCTGTTTTTGTTTGAGGTTTCCACTCCACATACTTCAGTGTTGATATTGATCCGTTTGGAGGCAGAGGATCCTCAATTGATTGAGCCCACATAAGCTGAGCATCTGTCTAGACATCCTTTTTTAAAGATCTCTCCTTTTACGTAACTCAATGTAGCAGAAAATCCCATTGTCCCTGCCAATCGATCGTAAGTCTGCCTTTGGGGCGGAGTATCGATTACACAATTCTTGATTGAGTCAGACCGAATAATATGGCGCTCAAAGATGTGGGTCAAGTGTTTGAATTCGGCTGAAGGAAAGAATAAAATGTACCTAGATAAAGAACCAAACCGAAACGCTTTCAAGATACCGAATTTTCTCTGGCTAAAACGCCGCAGGACGAGACTCTGCGATGACAGCTCAATAACTGGAGTGTGAAGGAATTTTTTTTTGCTTCTCTTGGGTCGCAGCATGAACTTCGAAATGGTGCTGGCATTGGGATGCCTGCTGCTTAACATATTAGCACCAGGACATCATCAGGGGAGAGGACAGCTGAAAGTGTCAACAGTTTTTGCCAAAAACGCCGCTGTCGGCGAGTTGTGAGCCCGAGAAATCGGTTCCCAAAGCCAGCGTGAAATCTGTACTAAAGTTGGCAGCAGGATGCCGCCAGTTGCCTCGCAGGATGCCCAGCTGTTGGCAACGTTTTTTTTTCAATCTATATATATATTTTTTATTCCATTTGCCATGCTTTTCCGATATTTCGCCGGTGTTTCTTTTCCGCCAAATGGGATTAATTTGAGCCGCGAGAGGAGTGCAGTCTTAAGACTTTGCTTCCGTTTTCCGGCCATTCGGTACCCTCTATTGTGCTGCTCCTGCCGGCTTATCTCTTTGGCTCACATCTTGGCCAGCTGCTCCTGGCTGCTCCTCACCGTTTGCCTTTTGTGGCTTGACCATTTCGCTTTGTTCATGGCAACTTCAATGCCCGGCCGACTCACGTCCTTTGTCCTTATTGTCCGTTCATTTGCTTAAACGCATCTTATCCTGTTAAAATGTGCACCGCTTCGGCTTTCCTTTTTCGCTGGAAAATTGATCTTTTTTGCAAATTTCCTTCTCGGCTGCCGGTCTTTTGCTCTTTTCATAGGGCCACTCTCTCGAGTGCTCACTAATTGAGATTTTCCTCCTTTTTAAAATGTTCATTTTCTTTTCCTTTTCCATTTTGGTAATGCAATACACGAGTTCCGCTTTCAAGTCGACGACAATTGTTCTTTTTTTTGCTGGTGATTTGAAAGAAAAGTTTTTTGGCGAAAATATCCTGTATTGTTTGGTATTTCTTAGTTAATCCTTGAAATATATATATTTGGTTAAAGAAAGTAATGATCTTTTGCAGAGAATATCTCAGAGAAAAATCTAGATAAACTTTGATTTCATATAACCTACTTTTTCAATATAATAAAACGTAAATAAACTTTTATTGGGCTGAAAATTGTTACATATTCTCTACTAAATAATTACCTTTTGCTTTCAATTATGTGCCCCATTTTTACAATATTAATAAATGGCTATAAACCAGCTCATTGACAATCATTCCACACCTGACGGACTCACCAACGAAGCGTTAAATAAAAATACAACAATTAAAATAGAAAATAGCTGATCAGACCATAACATTATTGTTCGGCCAATTAAAGATTCTAAAAGCCATAAAATTATTATTATTTTGTTAGGCAACTTTTTAGATCTTCCCCAGTCGATGGAAAATGTTTAATTCCGAGTCCAATTCGAGTTCCATTTCCATGTTTCCATGGCACACGCAGCGCATTCATAACAATATTTCATCAAAAATTCAAAGCGCCCCCCTGCTCGGCCCCGAAAAAAACATGGTTATTAATTAAAATTCCCAAATCAAAATCAAATTACGAGTAAAACACAATAAAAAACAAGAAACATGAATAAATTTCCCCCAGCAAAAATGTATATATATATTTTTTTTTTTGGTTGGGGAAGACCGCGTTGGCAGCCTGTCGCCAGCGGCTTCCGTCGCCAAACTTCTAGGAATTTCTGTAGCGGGAAAATGTGCTCGGAAAATGCATATATTATAACCAAATTAAATTATGCATAATTTCCCCGCTGTTCCTGTTGCCTGCATTTAAACCAAAGTAGCCCCAGACCCATAAAACTGTCATAAGGCGCTGCCAACGAAATCGAGAGGAGGAGGACGCGGCATCAAGGAATCTGGAATCGTGCTCCTTAGGGGGGACATACACATATGTATGCGAGAAAGACCTTTCTGGATATTTAATTAGGAGAGAGGGGTAAGTCAACAATGGAATGCATATGATTTTAGGGAACTATATACTGGGGGAAATGTCTTGGAAAGAGATTTGATTATAAGAGAGACTTTAAGTACAACTTAGACTTGATTTAAACTCTAAAAAGTATCTTTTTTCTAGAGAATAGGTTAATAATTTAATCAATAAAATAAGTCCTATATAATTTGAATTATAATAAACATATTACGGCATTTAATCCTATAAAAGAAAGAACATTTAGATACAATCTATTCCCATTCCTTTCCTCACTTTTCTTCACAGTGTAATAAATAATTTCCATAAATATAAAATGTTTTTGTGCTCAATTAGCGTATAACATTGTCATAACCATTCGCCCGGCGCCCCAGCCGCAGGTCGGTATCCAATCCCATCTCCATAACCATCCCAATCCCAATCCCTTACCGAATCCTAATGTGCGTCCTCCGATCAACAGGTAAAAACTGTTTTGATATGCGACTGAGGTGGGAATAATGCTCATTTTCATTCGTTTTCGTTGGAAAATTATGTCTGTGCCCGGGGCATAGTTTTCCCCCATTTTCCATATTTACCTCCGGTTGGTGCGCGTGGCGCGATTTAAATTATGATGACGCCAAGGCGCCTCCACGACCTGAGCTCACTTGCCTGCGCCGGGTGGGCCTTTATTTTCAACCCGATTTTATTTTTGAATTTTAAATGCACTTGAAGAAATATTTAAAACAGATTATTATAGTATTATTTCTATAAAAATTATAAGCTTTAAATTACGTAGGACTTTGCCTTTATAAAATATAAAGCAAAATGAACAAAAGAGTAGAACCAATTCATTTATTAAATACAACTATATTCAAGGTATACTTCATTATAATTTTGATATTTTCTTGAATATAATATTATAAAGCATTTCACAAATATTCCACAATTTCTCCTCGTGCTCGTTGTGCAGAGGGAACAGGAAAGGATAACGAGGCGGGTCGCCGCTTCTACGGAACTATAAATTTTCCAGCTCATGATTACGCCGGGAGAAATAATAATTGGTCAGGAGCTGCAGTAGGAGCAGCTGCCCGGTAATCTTATCAAATATTTGACAATAACCCAATTAGTAACCACCTACAGGAGGATCGAGTCGCCAGGAAAAAGGACACAACATCCGAAAGACAAACAAACATTGCGCAAAAAAGGCTCTGTTTTTTTCGAGAAATGCTACCAGGGAAGCTGACAGGGAGTAAGACATCAGTCGATATGGAGACGCAGCTGCAAAACGGGGACAATGATGTCAGGTCAAAGTCAAAAAAGATGCTCGCGTCAACCATAAAACTAGCCGACCTGGACAAAGAGATAAGGCAGAGGACAGGACCTCCGCAGGAGGGACATCTTTTAGCAGGCAGCCAGGCAGCCCGGCAGGCCTCTAATTTGTGAAACTTGCCTCCAGTTTAGAAGACGCAACGGGCAGTCCCATAACATAAAAGAGCATTCCTCCTACTTGCCATGACATTTGAGATTTTGCAGTCGATGATTTTCAATGCTGGCTTCAAATTCTATAGATTCTCGATCTGTATCCCTGTGTCGTGTGGATGGAAAAAGCGCAATTGAAAAGCCACAAAGGGAGCCGAAAATTTGCCATAATCATGACATTTTGTTCATCTTGGTTTTTGTCTTTCTGCTGCATTCTTCTGCTGCCAAAAGGATCTTTTCTCTTTCTAACGATATAAT